AAATGTAGCAAAATTTATTTTAAAAATATATAATTTTTTCCAAATTTATGAATTGGAAAAATATAAATTTTTTTCAATTCATATTTTTAATATTACATGATCAGTATAAAATAACAGATGGAGCAGTATCAATGTGTTTCTGAAATAGAGCATGAATTTCTTGATTTTTAGCTTTTGTGGAAGTGATTTGAAACATATTCCACCTACAGGACAAACAGCGATAGAAGCCGGGGAAGAGAGAATCAAACATTCAGAACACAAGGTCTGAATAAAAAAAAGAATGTGGTTGACACATGCAGCAGCATGCAGCAGCTCTTTGACTCTGCTCATCTGCTCATCCCGGACCTCCGTCCGATTCAGCAACCTGCCCTCCTGTGCCGGAAACAGGCGCAGCGGGCCGTCACTTTGCAGAGGCAGGGGCAGAACGGCACAAAAGAAAGAAACCCACAAGCATAGCAATGTGGTGAATCATGGGAATTTCCACCGGTGTTTTGCATTCACATGGTGACTGACACTCGCCATTACTGAGGGACTGTAAATGCTGAGCTATGTGTGTTTATGTGTCTTTGCAGGACAAGTGGACAAGGATCCTAAAATCCGCCCCTCTGATAATCCACTGGTTCTTCATAAGGGAAACTCGTTGAACCTCACTTGCAGGTATGCAGCGCAACACACCAGTGATGGTGAAGTTTACACTTCCCCAAAGCGGCATGAGTTCTTATCCATATTTTTAACATAAATTACAATTAACCAGATTGATGCTGCAAAAACACAAAATTGTACCAAGTATTATTCGTCCAGTTTCTAGTGAAAATATCTTAGTACACTTGAAATAAGAAGAAACTAACTTAAAAGTAACTTTTCAGCAACATATGAGCTTTTTTTTAAATCAATAACTCCTCAATACTGATCAGTACTTTTTCCACTGGCAGATTGTTTCACTTATAACATGAGGAAATATGTTAAAAGCCTAGTATTTAAAAAAAAATCTATTTTAAACATTTATTGACTTAAAACAAGCTCATATGTCTTGTTGAAAAGTTACTTATGAGTTAGTTTTGTCATATTTGAAGTATATTAAGATATTTGCACTAAACTTGGCCAAAAGTACTTGGTAAGATTTTGTGTTTTTGCAGTGTATGGTCTTAAACAGCTTGACATAGTAAATATTTCATAGAAGAAATATTCAAAATATGACTATTTATTATGAAACTTTATGAATTTTTATGCATCTGTTGGTATTTTTGTGGACTTAATCCACATAATATAAACTTTTGGTTGTAATGTAATTTTCTTGCTTTTATGTCTTATATGAGGCTGCAGACCAGAGGAAAAATAAACAGCCACAACGAAATGGGGAGAGCGTTTGACAGGAACCAGTGGTGGTGGTCCAAATTTATCAGCCTCTTGCTATTTCCTTTAGAGCTGGTGGGACCCAAGTGTGCTACATCCACATTTATGAAGTATTTGGGGCATTGCATCATTTCGCAGGCTTGCAAAGAATGCACAGAAACTAGTGGCTATCTAATGTAATGCTTCCCTACAAGGCGATGTATGGCGAGCCTCTCGTAGGCATATAGGCCTGCGTTGTTTTCTGTCACTGGATGAGAACTAAAGGTTGGTTGACCCAAAATTTCTGCAGGCAAAGGCAACGGCATACTAGACATGTTTGATGTTCCTCTGGGATCGCTTTAATGAGAGTTTTAAAATGGGTTCTGCGTGGAAAGAATGTGTTAGCTGAGCACGTCTTTCAAGAGAAACATGTTCCCATGTGAAAGTTCAAGGTATCGGGTGACTCGAGATTAACTCCAAATAAACTCAGGATGAACATCAGGGCAGAAAATCCCCAAAGGGGGGGAAGCAGCCGCTGTTGTCCTGAACCGAAAAGATTGCAAGGCCGTTTGCCAGCTGTGACACTTAAACTAAAAATAGTTCTGAAATATGCAGAGTTGGTAAATATCATCATCTGCGCCTCTCTCTCTTTCTCTTTCTTTTTTTCAGAGGTCATGGCATCTTACAATGGATTCTTGCAAAACGATTGATCCTGTTGGGGGAGGGTGTTAAGGTGGAAAAGTGTGACTCCAGGCATCATTCGCACTGCAGCAGACTCACAGTCACACACCTAACGGCCAACGACACGGGGACGTACACCTGCAAATACTCCAAATCTGGCTCAGAGCATTCCACCTCAGTTTACATCTATGTGAAAGGTGAGACAGAGGAAACTATCCTGACAAAATGTTGACCCGATGCATGCCTACAACGTTTTAAAACCTGATTTAAGGACTGGTGCTGCTACACACCTGAATTAATCAATCAGAGCAACACTCCAGCTATGTTTTTGATGAAGGAATAAAATGATATGAAAATAAAAAACATCTATTTTACACACCTTTTTATAATATTATGCATCAAATGTTTTTTGCATTTTTTTTTATTAAAGCCAATATGAATCAGTCCTTATCAAACAAAGCAGTTTAGATTTTTCCCAAAAAAAATTTCAAGAGTTGATTTTTTTGCATGTTAATTTTTTCTATGCAAATTTAAGAAAAAGTGACCACACTGCAAAAACACAAACTCTCACCAAGTATGTTGGTCTAGTTTCTAGTGCAAACATCTTATTACACTTGAAATAAAGCAAAACTAACCTACAAATAACTTTTCAGCAAAACATGGGAGCCTGTTTTAAGTAAAAAGATCCTTAATACCGATGAAAAAGTACTTGCTCCAATGGAAGATTGTTTCATTTACAATAAGACACTTTCCCCTTTTTATAAGTGGAATAATCTGCCAGTGGAATAAATATTTTTCATCAATATCAAGGAATTATTGACTTAAAACAATCGCCTATATGTTGCTGAAAAGTTACTTATAAGTTAGTTTTGTTTGGTAATATTTTGTGTTTCTGCAGTGCAAAAAGTAGATTATTTTTTATTCGTCCATAAATATATCCAACAACATTATTAAATCTAGATTTGTAGAAAAGGGGAAAACATTGTTCTTCAGAAGACCTGCCAAGAAATAACAGACCAGCAAAACACTCAGACAAGCCAGAGAGGGTTAGACGTCAACCTGATAGATAACCATGAGGTCAAAGGTTATCCCAAATGAACTGCAAAACGTCAGAGTGTCAGTCAAACCTGCAAACCTGTGTTTTATGAAAAATGGTCCCAGATTCAAGAAGAAAACATGAAAAAAGATTTAGAAAAGTACTGGCAGATCATTTCACATATAAGATATTTCCCCATGATATAAATGAAATTACATTTATGGGGTTATAATTTAAGTAATTATTGGCTTAGAATGAGTTCCTACATCTTGCTCAAAATTTTGTTTTGTTTTATTTCAGCTGCACTAAAATATTAATATAATTTATAAAAACTGGATCAAAAATACTCTGTAAGATTTTGTGTTTTTGCAGTGAAACATTTTGAAAGAAAATGACCCAAATCCTGTTCTTTTACCAAGAATAAATTTGCTTAATTGAGCCAAAACATTTTTTAAACTTGATGTCGATTAATACAGTTAACATGCAAATTCCTTTTTAAGTTTTGGATCTACAATGAACATAAGGAAAGCTTTATTTGCTTTAGTATTTATTTTTTTAATTTTTTTACTAGTTTAGACTCAATGAATTTGACAAAAAAAAGTTTGGACACCTCTGCTCTAAATATAGAGATAAACAGTGCAAAAACACCAAATCCCACCAAGTATGTTTAATCTAATTTCAAGTGCAAATATCTTAGTACAATTGAAATAAGACAAAACTACAAACAAAAGGATCCCAAAATATTAGGCATCAAAATGTCTTTTCTTCTTAAAAGCAAATATTTATCAGTCCTTGTGAAACAAAGCAGTTATTTTCTTTACCTTTTTCAACATATTTAGACCCCAAATTTTAGCTTTGTTGATGATCTTTGGTGCAGAATAGCTTAAGTATTAATGAATACCAGAAGCAAGAAGGACTTGCAGCTATATAGAGTTGTGTTTATCCTCCATTTTTCTGGTAGTCTGCAGCCTCCTTCATTGGTTTTCCTCTGGTTTCCTTAGAGAAACAGAGAGAAGGGGAGCAGTTTGTGCTGTGGTTTCTCCTGGAGGTTAAAGGGTGAGCCTGATTGCACAGGAAGCTCTGGTCATTGACTGATTTCCTGCTCCTGCTACTGTTTTCCAAAGTCTTCCCTAAAGCATTGCATCGCACCGGTTACAGTTCCTGTACTCTTCAAACGGAGCCTGAGCTGAAACTCCAAATTAAAGAAGTTTATATAAATACAAAGCTCTTAGATTTGAGTCCAAGAAATGGTTCGCATTCGAACGAAGCTGGATACTCTTCATTTCCTTTCCTGTTGCTCTGGGAATGTGGTTTCCACTCTGCCCGTGTTTAGTCTGGCAAACTATTTTCAAAGCCCCTCAGTTGTTTATTAGATTATGATACACGCTTACTTCTCAGATAAAAGTCCCTTCATCACGCCAATAATGCTTGACCTCACACCGATCGCAGACTGTTTGAGTTCCCACCGTTGTAGTTTGATGCCTGGCTGCCCAGCAGGCGCTAAGCTAAGAGCTCCTCCTGGGCTCTGCAGCCTTATCTGGGCAGAATTAACTAATCGGTTCATCTCTGCGTTGAATTCCTGGACTTTGTCCTTTTTCAGCGCAGGCCGTCCAGCTGGGAGGCTCGAGCAATAATAAAAATACGTGCCAATCCTTGGAGCGTCATGGGAAGTTGGAGACAATCCCAACTGACTCTGAGCGAATTATGACTGCACAGACTTTATTTCTAAAGGAGGGATGGGAAACCTGAAATGCATAAAGTTAGAGGAGGATCAATTCTTCCTAACACTTTGAACAATAATGTGATAAATATATTGATTATGACAGATGTTGTAATTCTGCCTGTGTATATATTTTTAATTTTGATGTTATGACGCATAAATTAATGCAAACATTTAAAACAAAAAAATATAACATGTAAAGTGGCTTTCTAATAAAGCAAGATTATTGTTTGTTTCATTATGTCTGTTTCTCTCTTTCCTTGTATCTTTCTTTCTCTCTCTCTGTTTCTTTATCTCTTTCTTCCTTTCTTTCAGTCTTTCTTTCTATTCCTACTTTGTTTCTTTTTCTGCTTAGTTCTACGATTCCTTCTTTCTCTTTCTTTTTCCCCTTCTTTTCTTTCTTTCTTTTTCTGCTTTGTTTTACTTTTCCTTTCTTTCTTCTTTCTTTCACTCTTTCCTTCTTTCTCTATTTTGTTCCATCTTTATTTGTTTTCTATTCTTTGTGTTTATTTATCTGTCTGTCTGACTGTGAATCTGGATTCTTTCTAATTATCTTCCATAATTTTAAATTAAATTTGTGTTTTTAATATTTTATAATAAATATAAAGGACTGAAACATCTGGAAGGTTTAGTCTGAAGAGAAAACATTGTGGGTTTTTTTTGTTTGTTTTTTTTTATAAGAGAGCTCTGCAGGAATCTTGCTCCCAGAATCTCAGCCTGTTTTTTAACGGCTTCTTCTGCTACATATTTTCATATTTGATGCTAATTTTGGTGGCTTTTTTCCTTTTGTAGACCCTGAACAGCTGTTTGTTGAGCCCTACTCCTTTAATAGACCTCTGTTTCTGAGCATTTACCAACATGAAACCACCTTCGTTGTGCCGTGCAGGACCACCTCACCTGACGCTGTTGTACGTCTGACGGCGGTAAGAAACGTTCACACACGCCTCCTTCTGCTTGTGAGGTTAAATAATTGTAAGCGCTCATGTGAAACTCTGAAAAATCACGCGGTGCATCATCTGAGAAAACAGGACTGTTGTTAATTTAACAGCAGGGAGTCTTTATTTATCATCAGTGGAGGGTCTCTGTCACGAACAAAACTGGTTCCCACACCCTAAGTGTGGTCAACATATTTTTACTCAAGTGAAAGTAAAAAGAAGCCGTCCAAGAACTTACAAAAGAGTATAAAAGTATTTGGGGAAAAAGGTGACTCATGCATTGCAAAAACAAAATTTTACACAATCTTTTTTGTCTAGCTTCTACTGCAAACATCTTAGTGGACTTGAAGACAAAACTAGCTTACAAGTAACTTTGTTGCAAGAAACATAACCTTGTTTTGGATCAATATTTCCTTCAAATTTATGAAAAAGTTCTAGTTTCATTGACAGATTATTTCACTTACAGTAAGACATTATTCTCATGTCATAAATGAAATAATCTGCAAATGGATCTAGTACTTTTTCATCAGCATTAAGGAGTTATTGACTTAAAATAAACTCTTATTTCTTTGTGTAGTGAAACATTTAGACCAACAAAACATGATAAAATGTTGTGTTTTTGCAGTGTGATCAAAATATTCATCATTTAAAATTTAAAAATTACATAATCAGATTGACCAAAATATGAAGTTATGTGGAAATGTTGGTATTTTAAGAACGAAGGTTTTGTTCTTCATTCAGTGGGTAGACAATACAGAAATTTTAGTTAATTAAGCGCAGCGATACTTCTCACTAAGATTAAACTAAAACTAAAAAGTACAGCACAGTAAAATATTCCTAAAAGTGATTTTTTTTCCAAAACGTTGCTCCAGCAAATGTAACCCAACTCTGAAGCTGCGCATCGGTAAACGGAGTCGTGTTGTCTGCTTCCTGTGAGGACAGGAAGGTGCTCCAGGAGCTCTCTTCTGCAGAAATAGACCCTGGGACCAAATTTAGCCTCATATCTTGTCTAAGCATCAGGAAATGTAACAGAAAAGAAACAGCACAGGGTTCAGGAAACGGCAGGTATAAAGCATTTAACGATATCCATTCATTATTTCATCTAAAGTTTATCACATCAGAATTTAATGGCACAGATTCTAGAAACTTCCTGTTTTTATCACAACTATGACACCCTTCCTTCCTTCCTGGCCTCCTTACTTCCTTCTCATCCTTTGCCTCTTGTCCCAGTCCAACGCTTGTCTCCTGACCTGGGAACAAACAGGAGCAGGCACGTACAGCTTTTTCAGACTCTGTGCTCCACTTGCATGAATGATTGCCGAGGTCACGCTCAGTATACACAGTTAAAACTAATTAGATGCTCACTCTAGCAGATGTTAGTCCCCAGGTGATCTTAGTAAAGCAGAAGTTGCATATTAAATGAAGTTGAAACCTTTTCTCTTCAGTCAGTGATTGTTTTTGTACGTCCATTTGTGTCTCTACTGCTTCTAAAAAAAAAAACCCACAAACACTTAAAAAGCTGCTTTTTTGCCAATAAGATAAAAAAAATTTTGGTGTCTGAAAAATGAGCCAAGTCAAAACCATGTCAAAAACCTTCCTATTATTAAGTTCCAGTGCACCGTTACCTAGCAACCCCAGCAGAATTCTGCCCGTTACCTAGCAACCCAAGCATAGCTCCAGCATATTTGGCCATCTAAATTTTACCACAGTGTTTGCTGTATAATGGCTGCTGGAAAGGAAGAGTGTTTTGTTATTGACTTACCATCCAGAAACCACTTGCTGCATTCTTGTTGGTTGTGCAGGAGGCTCTACTAAGCCTTTTCAAAGATGTACGGTTGTATAATTGCGCATGTGTTTCAGCCATTTTCACATGCAAGCGTTGGGTTTGGGGGCATGGCCAGCAGCAGCTTATGTTATTTCATAACATTTCATTATGAAAGGAGCTCAAAATAGGCAGAACTGAGCAGACTAAAATATCATCATCTTAGAATGATTTTATGCAAAAAAAGAAATAATAATAATAATAATAATAATAATAATAATAATAATAATATGTTTTATGCATCCTATAGACCTACAGTAGCCATGTTCAAAGAAGCCTAATAGGTGAACTTTAGAAGTGTTGCTTAAAACAAGTAACCTTGCTTTTATCACTACAGAATCCACCACTTTCAAAAGAAGTAGAGACGGTGTGGGATCCCAAAGTAGGGTTCACGATTCCAGATAATTACTATACGCAGCTCACCTGTAGATCTCACTTTGGTGGGAAAGACTTCACGTCCTCCTACATTCCACACAAATTCTGTAAGTTCAAATTTTATTCTGAGAAATATAACAAATATAAAATATAACATTTACTAACATATTTTCCTCTGTTCTCCAGCTAAAAATATAAATAATTTAAAAGTCACACCAGATCATGTCAAAGTGTTGGTTGGCGACACGCTTGTCCTTAACTGCAGCGGGGAGACGGGCCCAAACGGAAGAATAAAGTTCATCTGGGTTTTTCCAAAGCTTAAAGTAAGCAAGGCATGGCTTTGTAAAAGTGACCGTCAAAACTTACAGCAGTGATGTTTAATGATGCTTTTTTCTCCCCAGGAAAATCGATACCATACGAGCAAAGCTGATCTGACACCTGGTGATTTTAACAAAATGAGCAAAACTTTGGTGTTGCCAAATATAACAATGGCAGACAAAGGAGTGTATCTCTGCACAGCTACGACTGATGGAATAACATACCACAATGCTTCAGCAAGAGTAATTGTCTATGGTAAGCATGATGTAACAGGGGGTCTTCTGTAGTGATATGAGAATGATATTATTCATGAAACAGAGTGGGTTTCTGTTTTATTTATAATTTCTCTTCTGCTGCAGAGCATCCATTCCTCAACATATCTCATAAACACAGCAACAGCGGCAGAGTGATTGTCCGAGAGGACACAAAGAGGATTGTGTTAGAGCCTAGAGTCAAAGCGTTGCCACAACCAGACGTGATTTTATGGTAGGCTACACTTTACAAGAAAACAAGTGGAATAAGGTTTCCTGGTCAGATGAGAACACGGTTTGACTTTACATGCCAGTTCTTTGTATCTGAAAACTGACACTGTTAGTCTATGGTGAAACAAGGTGGAGGCAGCATCATGCTGTGGGAATGTGTTTCGTTATGATGAACCAGAAAAAGACTAGAAACTGGGGCAACAACATGGGAAAAATGTCTTATTAAAAGTAAAATAATCTGCCAGTGGAACTAGTACTTTTAAAAAAAAGAAAGAAAGAAAAAGTATATTAAGTAATTATTTATTTTATTAATTTATTTAAGTTAGTTTTGTCTTATCTCAAGTTTAGTAAGATGATTTGCACTGGACCAAAAATACTTGGTTATGTTTTGTTTTGTTGCTGTGAGAGGATGTTGACAATTTCCTACACTGCAAAAACACAAAATTTTATGTATGTAAATTTTATGTATTTTTGGTCTGGTGCAAATCATCTTAGTAAACTTGAAATAATATGTAGTAAACTAAGTTAGTTTACTAAAGTAAGTTAGTAAGCTAACATAGTGGAGATTACAAGGTAGTAAACTTGCAAACTAACAGGTTAGTTTACTAAACTTAGGTAACTAAGTCAACTTAGTAAACTAACCTAGTTTAATAACTTGTAAACTTACAATCTGGCTCAGATTGCAAGTTAGTTTTGTCTTATTTCAAGAGCAGTAAAATAGCTGCACTTAAACTAGACCTAAATACTTTGTTTACTAAACCAAGTTAGTAAGCTAACTTAGTTTACTAACTTGCAAACTAATTTTGCTTACAAGTTAGTAAACGAACTAAATTATTTTTGTCTTATTTCAAGAGCAGTAAAATAGCTGCACTTGAAACTAGACACAAATACTTTGTGAGATTTTGTGTTTTTGCAGTGTATGCATCTGCATTTCAAAAATCTGCTTCAGATAATAATAAAAACAAATTATTTCAATCATCATGACTACATTTTTTTCTCCCTCCAAATCCCAGGTACAAAGACGGCGTCGCCATTTTTAAGAACTCAACCTGCTACAAGATGTCTGGCTACAGCTTGTCCATCCTCGAACTGAAGGAGAGGCACTCTGGGGTTTACACCATAACCGTGGGCAGCCGGGGCATGCTCAGGAATCTGAGCTACACTCTGATCGTTGAAGGTAGGCGCTCTGAGGTAATGCGACTGAGGCCCAGCTGCTCTGGACGGCAGGTAGCAGCTCCAGAATGAGAGGAATTTGGGGGCTTGTTGTTTCCAGCGCTAGATTGACGTAGCACAGGCAGCTGTTGTTGATTACTGAGGCTCTTCTGAAGGGGCTTGGGGTGGCGTGTAAATGGCCAGAGCGCTATTGTGCCGCTCGCATGTGTACACACAGACAGGGCTGCTCACAGAAAGAAAATGTTCCATGCAACAAGTACAAGAACCTGGATTTCAGTGTTTGGATGACTTTATGAGCGATGCTGATGGCCGTTAACACTTGAGGCTGTAAACATTTTAGGCCTATTATGGGTAGTCTGGTTTCTATAGAGAACAGAGAGGCACTGCTTGCCATGGTGGGGGAGAGAGGGCGCAACCTTTTCTATTAACTTCTTCAAAGTTTTCTGAGAAATCCCAATGGCATACCAAAAAGTGGAAAAATTGGACCCCTTCTGGCGTGTGCAATCTTCGTTTATGATCCTTGACTGTTAGGCTTTGTGCCAGTTATTGGAATGACAAAAAAAAAAAAAAAAAAAACGCGCTCAGACAGAAATAAACAAAAACAAATAAATATTTCTGGCAACGATTAGAGAACTATGTGGGTTTTGATGTTTGAAGTTATGAACGAGTTCTGGATGCTTGACGCATGGAGGTGGGATTTTTCATACTTCAACCTTGTACAACTAACAATTATTTAAGTAATCGATTATACTATCAATTATTCTGATGATTAATCAAATAAAAATGGGTACATTCAGCTTTTTTTCTTTTAACCACTTAAGCCATTTCTTTGCGATACAGTAACATAATATGCAAGGAAACTATTCAGTTTCCTTTTTTATGTTATTGCATTTTACCTCCTAAAATGCAATAACATAGCATTCCTTTGGTGAATGCTTGATCATTTGTAGCAAAAAATGCATCTCCAGCTAAAAATACTTCTAACATCAATGGTTTCTGCATCAATACAGTTCAGGGCTGATCTGGTGATTATTTATCAATTAACTGATTAAAAATTTGATAGCAAAAGGTGCTTAATATGTGTTTTTTGTTAGTTAGTTAGTTAGTTAGTTAGTTAGTTAGTTAGTTAGTTAGTTAGTTAGTTAGTTAGTTAGTTAGTTAGTTAGTTAGTTACAAAATTTGAACTATGAAAATAAAAACCTTTGCCACCTGAGGAGTTTTGGGTAAAATATATTTACACGCAAAAGTTTTTTTGTATCCTAAATGCAATTTTTATATATTTTTTGAACAGTTTTGGCTTTGTAACTGGTTTTAGTATATTGATTTTTCAGCAAATGTGCTTTTTGTGAGTCTATGTACTAATGACTAATCGATTCAATCATATTTGAACTACTTGCACCATTCTTACGTTTTTATATATATATATATATATATATATATATATATATATATATATATATATATATATATATATATATATAAAATAAATTTTATCACTTATGGTCATATTTGTATTAACATCTTGGATGCAGTAGCTTGTCAATCCCATTGGGGATCAATAAAGTACATTCTTCTCTCTTTTAATCACAATTAATCAAAATGAATCACAACTAATCACGATTAATCCGATTAATCACTGCAGCTTTGTGAATATTTAGGAATTGCTGAGTGATCTGGACAACCTCAGGAGTTGGGACAAGTATCTTGATCTGTTGCTCATTACACGGTTGAATCAGTGACCGGAGCGTGAGGTCGCAGAAAGGTCGCTCTCTGACCTCCAGGCCCCTGGATTGCCAGCCTTCTTGTCATTCTTCTTCTGCAAAGTATCTAAAGGACAATTGGACTCAAGGATGCCTTTTTCCCCTCAGCTATCCATCATGATTGTCGTTTTTCATTAAAAGACATTATGGGATACCACAACCTGTTTCTCTCTGTTTCCTCGCAGTTAAGCCGACTATTTTTGAGGCGGAGCTCTCCAACCAGGACGTGCATCTGTACATGGCTGGCAAGCAGCAACAGCTGACCTGCACCGCCTTCGGCGTGCCGCTGCCCAGCATCACCTGGCTGTGGCAGCCGTGTCACACCAGAACAACAGTGAACAGTGAACAGTGAGTCACCATCTTATGTTTTCAGTCACGGTTCTGTAGCTTCCCACTCGACAAAAAACTTTACTGGAAGCTAAAACATCAAGTTCACAGAGGTGAGACCAGATCAGTGTTTTGCAAGTCTCAAGTCTTTATCTTCAAGTCCCAAATCTGAAACTTGAGATTTCAAGTCCTTTCGAGTCTTTTTTCTAATGAACCGGTTCAGCATTATGATGGAGACAGAGAGAAACTCACTGAGTTCAGTTACTGAACCTGCTTTCTGACACAGATCCATGCTCACTATCCACCGGCAAACCTGAGCTAACACACTGCATTTAAAGCAAAAGTGAAGCCTAAATGAACAGAAATCAGATCATGGACGCACTTTAAGAAGAACTGTCTTCTAAACCTATGTTTTCATTTAGAATAACAAGAATTTCACTTTCTACATTTCAGAAAAAAGCTACAACAGATTTGTGCACAAACAATCATGATTCACTTTTTTTATTATTTCAGAAAAAATTATTTATACTGAACTTTGAATAAATATTGGAGTTTTATCTTTAATTTAAGCTCTAATGAAAGAATTAACTAATTATGACCACCAGATTCACCACAAGCTAAAACAAGTATTAGGAAATGCTTATTATAGGAAACTGAGTCACCATTCCGCCCTGGGTAGCCAACATTGCAACACATCCACTCTGATTCAGCTCAGTCTGTCCCAGAAGATGACAAATAAATCAAAACATGGAAACATTCAAGAACTGCCCTCTCATTTCTGGTCAATAGCTCCGTGGGCTGAATGAGAAACATGGGGGAAATATATTAAATCTCAGATTCCCTGAGCTATTGCAAAGCTGAATAGCGCCGAGTGACTTTGCACGAATGCCGGCCTGGAAGTGAACCCGCGAAAAGAATAAATATTAGGACGTTTACTGAGATCCTGGCCTGTTGGGGGTACCAGCAAACCCTGGACTGCTAAAATCAGGAAAACAATGGGCCATTACATTTGGCATATCAGCCTCAGACTACGCTGACAAAAACAACAAAGTGGACTGAAGGAGACTAAATTATGTTTCATGCTAGATGATTTTAATCTGCAAGTTTTTACATTTTCTCCAAGAACAACGTGCGGTTTATGGATTTCTGATAAATCAAAGCAGAGGTCAAACAAAGTCTGTGTGCAGACCTAAGCATAATCGAGGCTGGCATCAGGAACAGTGGCTGCACTGTGGTGACCAGCTAATGAGACGGAGGAACAACTGCAGCCTGGTGGGAAACCAATTGCACAAAAATGTTTGTTTTATACAAGCATCACCCAACACAGAACATGTCACTGTAAATCCAAAAAACGGCCCTTCAAGCTCATACCTCAATCCTAACGGGGATGGATGATACAAAAATTTCTTCCATTTGGGTCTCTACTGCTTCTAAAACAGTCAAAACACTTTAAAAAAAAAAAAAGCAGCCACATTTAAGCAATAAGTTAATATTTTTTTAGTGTCTGGAAAATGAGCCGTTTTTTTTAAAAACCTTCTGAATGTAACTTCATAAATCAGCAGGCACTTCCCTGTTACCTAGCGACCCCGGAATAATCCAACCCGTTACCTAGCAACCCCAGCAGAGTTCCAGAATGTTTGGTCAGCTGGTTTTATATGCATTCAAATGCAAATTCAAAAATACTTTATTGATCTTGAAAGGAAATTAAATGTCATACTAATTCAAATTCTTCAAAGGGTTATTGTAGGCAGGAAAGATCTCTTGTAGCAGTCTGTGTTACAACAAATTAGAGGAAGGCTGTGACTAAAGACTCTCTACTTTGCCCAGATATGCTCTGCCTGAAAAGACAAGTGTTTTGTTGTTAAGTGCACATCTGTTTGCAGCCATTTTCATGTGCGAGTGTAAACGTCAAATTGGTGGGCGTGGCCAGGAGCAGTTTATATGGATTTGAAGTGAAAAGAGGCCCTAAAACTGCTCAGAGGCAGAACTAAAATCTCCTCATCTAAGAATTACTTTGTGCAAAAACTGTAAGGAACAGTTTTGTATCACCCCTAAACCTATCCTAAACTGTTCAAGGAAGCATAATGGGTCACCTTTAATCTTTTGGAGAAAACTGGGGGGTTTAGAGGTGACAAGGGGGCCAAACATGAGGATGTCTTTATCTCCAGGCTGAGGAGTTATCAGCTGTTCCCAGCTGACCGTCAAGGTTAAGGATCGGCCTTATCTCCTCAGTCCAGAGTGCGGTGATTCCTGTACGTGGCGGTGCACAGCCCTTCCTGTCGCTACTGCTGTTTCCTCCTCTCCTTTTTGCCTCATCAGGTTAATTGTTCACCATGAGCAGTGAAAGGTTTCAGGGATGAGGGGCGAGGGGAGGTTGGCTCAAATCAAATTCTCAGACCCGAACCAGACTTGGACTGTTCCCAGATAGTTTTCTCTCAAAGGAGAGACCTCACTCAGTTTAATGAGCAGCAGCTTCTTTGCATTTTGGGTTGTAGCTCATGAAAGGCATTTTCATGTTTGACGGGCATTGAAAATAATTAAAAAGCGTGGAAAGTTGTGCTGTGGTGGCACAGAGGTTAAGCACAACCCATATATGGAGGCCTTAGTCCTCAACGCGGCTGACGCAGGTTCAATTAGCTGCATGTCTTCCCCCTTCTCTCATTACTCACTTTCTTGTCAATTCAATATCAAATAAAGGCCACTAGAGACAATAAAACAAACAAATAAAAAAAGCATGGAAGGAAAAACAATCAACACAAAGCGAAAGATTGTCAACGTGGTGAATTCAAAGTCTATAGCTCAAATTTAGTTCATAAAATTAAGATTTATATGATGTTTTTCCTTTAATGAGTTGGAGACTTAGCAAACCAGAACCCTATGGAGAGATTTAAAAGGACTCTGTTGAGAGTCCAGTCTGTCTGTAATCCACAACATTGAGAACAAATTAATTTGTCAGTACAAGTCTGTTTTATAGAAGTGATTGATTTAAGTCTCACTTTTCTCTACATTATCAGTCAGTGTTTCACTCCTGAGATTTAAACCTAGATGGCATTATTCTGAGAACACTTTTCATGCCATTTAAACTCTGTTCACTTTTAGTTTCCTCATAGCAACACATTTTAATCTAAACAATCATTTCTAATCATTTCTAAGACTACGAACACATAAACAGCAGAAAATGTTGTGTAATTTACACTTTATGCTCACAAACAACAGCTGTGGTCTTGCTGTTTAATCATTGCTCAATTTACCTTTCCAAATTCCACAGATCGTTTTTAATAAATTGACCAAGTCTGATGTGCAAGAGTTCTTTTAACATTGCAGATTGGAAAGGGTTTTTGTTGTCAAAAGTTCTTTTAAAGTCAATTGCCTGCTTTGAACAACACAGAACAGGTCAGTTGTGATTTATAAATGTTTCAAATGTTCTTATTTCTCTAGAATATGATGATATTTGCTGTTTAGCTTTCTGTTGATCTAATCTTTGCAGGATAAGTTTGGATCACTGAAAATGCAACATAAAGAGTTTTAAAACTTCTTTTCTTTGCAGATGCATCTCCGACAATGATCCAGTCCCGGTGACGCTTAATGAACAAAGTAATAATTTCCACAACTTGATCACCAGTATAAATGTCCAGACGGAACTGGTTCAAGAAAAAAACAAGGTGTGTACTAAATTATTCATTTCTAATCATCTAATGTCTGTTTTTTGTTCATAATTAGCTTGAAAAAATAGCAATAATGATTAATTGGTTAATTTTGTAACCTTGTGTAACCACAAACAATTAAATGTCCTCAGCTCCCCTAATCGGCACAAAATCTGTTTACCTTCCTTCATGCACTTAAAGAGACGTGATTTATTCCAGGAATACTCAGGAAGACATGAGATACTTAGGCTGCTTTATTGCTATAGGCATAAGGAAGCCTCAGCCAACTTAAACACAAAATTTCAACACCCAGTGACAGTTTGAGAGAGAGAGAGAAAAATATCTTCAGACCATAAAAATGCAGCAGAGAAAATACTTGCACTGCTTCTAACATCTGACTGACATCTGAATAACTTTTCGCTGAGTTCAAACACAAATGCACAGAGCTCCTGCGCAAGTCCATCTGATTCAAATGAAGTCTGCACGCATTCAGTCCTGCTGCCTGTGAGAAATGCTCTGAAACACGTGTGTGTTTCATTTATTTGGGTTTTGGTTGTGCGTTAAACACAGAGGTGTAGATTCGTGCATTTGACCTCTAAACGACAACGCCTGAGGCTAGCAGTCAGCTAACCTCATTGCAAAAACACAAAGTCTCACCAAGTATTTTTGGTTTAGTTTCTAGTGATAATACCTTATTGCACTTGAAATAAGACTTCAGCAAGATACTGGTGCTTCTTCTTTAAGTCAATAATTGCTTAATATAAATGAAAAAGTACAAATTCCACTAGTGAAATTCTGGTTTTACCGCTGCATGCGCTGTACAATGGCTGCTGGAAAAGACAAGTGTTTTGTTGTTGACTAACATCCAGAAACCTCTTGCTGCTTCCTTGTTGGTTGTGCAGGAGACTCTACACTGTAAAACATTTAAAAGTGGATTAACTTGAACATTAAATTCCACCTGCTGCCCTGAAAGTGAAATGTAAGTCAACAAGAAAATTGTGCTCAGAAATTAACGTCCATGAAGCTGATTTAACAACAAGAGACAAGTTGTCTAAACATTGTTTTCAAGTTCTGATAACGTTCATTATTTATCAGTTAATCATTCATCTTGAAATGTGATCTTTCCCTTCATTCTGTAATTTAAACCAAATAATTATTTTACTTTCTGCAAGAAAAAAAAACTGCCTTCACCCAGTTAAAGAGCCACATTTCTATTATGAACGGGACATTATCCTCAAGCATTAAAATAAACATTTGCCTTAATAAAACACAAGAGTCAGATCGATGTAATGGACTTCCATCTCAGGATACAGAAACATGTCGCTAAGCATTCTGGGAAATAGCTCTCACTCCCGTCTTTTTCTTCTTTTCTAAAAACTTTAGTTTATTCAACTCTTGGAGGTTTGACAAAAGTTAGCACAACTTATCACTGTAAGTTTATGTTTCACAAACTCACATATTAAGGTTGAAAATCTTAAAATTACAAAATTTGACTTAAAGAGTAAGAGATAGTAGACACAACTGAATGCAGCTTAAATGTTTTACAGTGCAGTTCTGCTTTTCAAAGACATATGGTTGTATAATTAATTTAATTCTGAAACTCAAAATAAAAAGAACCAATCAGACTGAAATCTCACCTTGTAAGAAGGATTTTGTTTAAAAAATAAGAAGTATAATGAACATCTTTTGTGTTGCCCATAAACCAATCCAGCCTGTTCAAGGAAGAATAATAGGTCACCTTTAATTAACTGTAAATTTATCAAATGCACAGTGCCTCAGTTCTAATATTTCCCTGACATAAATGGGGCAGCATAACTAATTTACACATGCTTGTGGCCAGTCGCTGGTATTTTATGAGGGTTAGCACTGAGGGTCAATGATAACAAGCCGCGGTTTAAAGGGAGAGGGATTTGTTGGCAGCAAATTCCTCTCTGTCAGCCCACATAAATCGTGCTGGCCTGTGAATAAGAACACAGTCGGGGCCGGGCCTCGGAGCGGCCCAGTGGAGAGGCGAAGCTCGCCCAACTCACAGTATGAGGGAAGACGTTGGCCTGGGGGCGGGGGGCATGCGGGTCACAGTGCGTCTAGTCAGGTCACCTCTGAGGAGTGTGAATGTTTTCAATCTCAGGTTGCATCATGGAGGGTAACATAATACGATAAGACTTCTCCGCCATGTTTTTACAGATGATATATCAGCATGGATTGGCCGACAACTTTAATTTTTCGGTGCTGCCTGGACATTTTAAGGGGCTGAAACAGGTTAATTTAGTCTGAGAGCGAACACAATGGCAGCCCAGGAAGTTATGACCCAGCATACACCAGACAATCCTCCTCAGTGTAGCTCAGGATATGCCAAAGAAAACAGATGTTCCCAACAGAACCCACCCGCCATCTGGCTCTCATCCAAGCTGCAGTTATTATTTTGTCTATCTACGCCATTAAAATTTTGTGTTTTTTGTAAATTGAGTATGTCATTAGTGCTGCTTTCCAGGAAATACGCACTGTGGCCCAGCTCTCGGCATGTAGCAAAGGTTTGAGGGTGACTCAGTGGGATTTAAAAATCCAGATGTATCCGTTCATTAACAGCAGGACTCTGAATGCAGAAGTACCACACACTGAAACAGACGTCTGCAGGCACGTAGTGATTGGATGGCGTTTAGGTAAATGTTCAATGTAAAATGAAAATCCAGAAATCTTCTCTGGAAATGTGTGGAAATTAGAAATGAAAAATCTGTGTTGATTTTGAGATTAACTCTCGCAGAAACTGGTTGGAAATTTGATGATCTCCCTGTGGATGGGTGGATCCTCTCTGGGTACTCCAGCTTCCTCTCACCATCCTAAAACATGTCAGGTTAACTGGTTGATATAAATCAGGAGATTTCAACTTACACTGGATTCTAGTTTGTGATATCACATTAATGGCTAAATATGAAACCACACCACATTTTTCAGATTTTTATTTGTATCACGTATCATTTTTCTTCCATTATAGTTAGTTAAATTCCTGGTATGAACACAAAATCACACTATATTTTTCTCTTTTCCTTTCTTTAAGTAAAGAACAACGTGTAAAAAGTAAGCACATCAAAGAAAGGGGGCTGGATTAAATACATTTATACTTTAATATTTAGATAACTGTACAAATAATGATCTAAATATATATTATGGTATTTGAATTGTGAATGTGAACATATTTGACAAAAAAAAGTGAACTAAATGAACTAAATTGAACAGAAATAAAGTGAAACAAAAGAATTTAATTTGAACTGAACTAAAATAAAGTAAAATTAACTGAACCAAAGTAAAGCCAAGCAAAGTAAATTGAACTAAAGTAAACTGAAGTGAGTGAAGTAAATAAAAGTGAACTAACAGAAACGTAAAAGAGAATATTCTTTATAATTCTGATAATCTGTTCAATTATTGATCTTAATCTGAATCATCTCTCGTAGACTGTGAGCACCCTGGTGATCGGAGAGGCTCGTGTGTCTGGACATTACCTCTGCAAAGCCCAGAACAAACTCGCCACTTTCAACATGATTCTCCCATTCTACGTTGATGGTAAGTGTCGCTCAAAGAAATAGTTTCAGCAGTAATTTCAAAGCGCTGGATTATTTCAAATCATCTGCAGTGCTCGCTTTAATGAACTGCAAGAGCGGGAAAGGAATGCACAGATTGTGTTGTGCAATAAAGAGACCAGAGGGGGGCATTAATTGAAAACATCTTCCACTGTAGCTGAACGGCCCGAAAGGGGGAAGCGAGGCGAACGTGTCCTGAGCCATATGGGGCGCTGTAATGGCACGCGTTTAAAAACAACTATGAATAACTGCATTCCTGCTCCGGTGCCAGCAGGTCATTCCTCTTTCTCTCAGCCTGTGTGCACAAGTGAGAATTTACTTTTCATGTGCATCTGAGCATTTCCAAATGTTCCCCAAAAGGTTGTCTGTTGAGACGGTTATGTAATAACAGCAGGAATGACGTGTTGGAATAAAGCAAAACACTTTTTTTTTGTATTTTTAATAAAACCTGAGCAAATCACTTCTCCTTATGAGCAGAAAAACGTTTTAAGAATTGAACAACCTGCAGGGTTATCCGATTCCCAGGAGGTACCCGGCTCTCCTCCAGGGGAAGATGGAGAAAAAAAAGAGAAGAGGACAATTGTAATAACATCTGTCTTCAAAGAACAGAGAACACTTTCTAACAAAACTGAATAAACAAGCACAGTCTGGTTCCCGTGGGTCACATAGTCATTCTCGCTCCAGTTGGAGCGCAGAAGTGCCGTCAGGCACGCTGTCCGCCAACGTGCTTCCAATTAATGGTGATTAAGCAGGAAACAACTTCAAATTTGACATTCCTTCTCTTCTGACAAGTGGTTTGTGGTTTAAAGAGCACAACTAGTGCATAGTACTGCTGACGGCTGAACACGTTTGTAGCTGGGGAAGATTTATGAAGGTGATGCAAAGTTTTCTTCTGTTTAGATGAACCGGAGGAAGTCGCCATCGAACCTCTAACAGCCATAGAGGGAGACGACGTCACCCTGACCTGTAGGGCGACCCGTTACCTCTACACAGGCCTACAGTGGCTGGACTCCAGGAATAAAACTATCACCACCGATGTATCCAACCTCCGGGTGGACCAATACTCCATTTCCATATCTCTCAATGTGCGCAATGTGTCCGAAAGCAGCACTGCAGGGTACCGGTGCCATGCATACAAGCTACAGAAACCAAAAAAGTCCAAAGTCAAGATGGTCGCCTTGGAGTTGAAAGGTTAGAAACAACATTTCCATCATGTCTAATAAAGTACCACAAGACAGGATCTTAATTTGAATAAAAATAGTTAATGTGTCAATAATTACATATATAATTAAGTAAACATACATGAAATGTACTACTGAATGTTTAAATTATATTTATTTTATGGTTCCTATGCCAAGAAATAATTTAAACTTTCACTACAGCTTATTAAGTAAACTTTAGCATCTGATTGGTTGACCTGAACAGCATGTCAGCTTCAGGCCAATCGTATTTCAGGAGTAGTGGTAGTCCCGCCCACTACATCTGAGTATGTATAAAATTAAATCAGGATGTGTTGCAACAGGACCGTGTAGTAATTAAATAGTGCAATTGGTGCACTTGCTTTTTGTGAATGAAATAAACATTTATTTAACCTATGCATTATGCTCATACATACTGCTTTTTACTATTTGTGTGGTGAAACTTTATATATGCTTCTCCAAATTTCCCTTTTGTTGGACTCCAATAAAGACTGTTTCTATTTCTAAATTAGTTTATTTTAATTCACTATTGACACATTTAACTAATCAATGACAGACTCATTTATTCCAATAATTTGTGGCACTTTTGGACTTCCATACTGTTGCTTATTCCAGCACAGGTTGTTAGAATGTTTTCTCTAAATTAATTGCTGCTTTAATTCAGTTTTCTGCTCATTTTGATGCAGAGCGGCAGCGGCCATTGCTCAGCCAAAATCTGACCGATCAGGACGTGAACAGCAGCAGCACTCTGGTCTTGGGCTGCTTTGCTTCGGGGGTTCCTCGTCCGCTGATCCGGTGGTACAAAAATGGTGTTGAAGTGGAAGAGAGTCCAGGTATGTTTCAGAATAACGCCACATAACAAGATATGATGCTAATTTTATTTAATTTTTTAACTATAAAGCATCAATGTAAGAAAATTTTGTTTGTGGTGTTATTTGTGAGATGCAGAAATCATTTCATCTGCACATCCTGAGTGTAGGGACTCGCGCTTTTCATATTAAAATACCACAATCAGCTCAAAGCTTTGTGTTGCAGGGGTATCGCTGGGAGAAAACGGGACCCTCATCATCGAAAGGGTGAAGAAAGACGACGAGGGCCGGTACGAGTGTGTGGCCCAAAACGCTGAGGGATTGGCCAAAACGAGCGCCGTCGTCACTGTGCTGGGTGAGTCCGTCTCTCTGCAGAGAGAGGAGAAAAACATCAGCTCAGTAGATCACATCAAACAGACCAATTAGTCCAAGCAGCAAGGCCGGAGCCTTTTTCTTTTCTTTTTTTTTTTTATCTCCACATCCCAGCGTATCAAAGAGGCCGTTCTGGCCCCCTGTTTTCTTTTCATCACTGCAAATAGCTTTGGCCTGACTTTAGTGAGGAAAAATGGCCCCTGACGGAAAACTGGCAGCTGCCAAGAATGCCAAGTGAATTCCTTCATGGGTTTTATGATCAAGGTTTTGGCTGTGAGCATTTCTCCAGAGGACATAACCTCTGTGGAGTGTTAAGAGTGTCACTAATGACTCTTAAAGGTTTGGCGGCTGCAGTGTGTTTTACAATACGGCGTAAATTTTGATCAGCGAGGAATCCAAAAAGTGGATGAGTTTAAATATCTGGGTGTCATTCTGGCTTCTCATCTTAACTTTGAGGAATTTAAGAGAAACCTAAACCACTTTTATCTTATAAGATCATTTTCATGTGAAATTTTTTTTTCCTTTTTTTGAAATTGACTTTTAAATGTCTTGTCATGAATGTGCTGCTAAATGTGGTGATGACAAAGAAACGACTCACCAATACAAGTGCATACTTTTATCCACCATTATTGATGCTCATGCTAATGCTGCTGAAGCAGTATCATAGCACAGAGCATGATTGACAGCGCTAAGACCCGCCTCCTGGCTCTGATTGATTGTTTCTAGCTAGCACTGGAAGAAGGCACAAGAGCTTGATATATTTATTTATTTTTTTCAGTTTATTTGTCTCATATTATACTATCACACTATAGTGACAGTTTCAACAAATATTTAAAAAATATTGTTTCTTATAACAGTTACTGCAGCTTTAAGATTTTAAGATGGATCCCATTCATCCAATTTTGTAAAGATCATCTTTAGACATTTCAGTCCGTAGATGAGCATCCTATTTTACAATTATATGCTACTTTGTCCCGGATAAACACATCCCATTACGTGGTTGCAATGTGAACAAAATGTGAAAATGAGTAATTTTGCACAACACTGCAACTGATTAAGCCGTTCAGCCTTTCTTTAATCAAGATTTATAGTTGTCCTTTCTGTGTGAATGTTAGTCAGAGACTGGAAAATAAACGGTTAGTGATTGCACGAATTACTTCAAAAACAATGTTTGAAGAAAAAATCCTTGGAAGAAATGCGGTGTGTTTGTTCCACGAAAAAATTTGATTCCACCTCCTTTTTTTCTGTACATCCACAGGAAAATGTCAAGGAAGTTAACAAGTAAACAAAACAGAGAAAGAATGTCTTGACATAAAAGCCTTGGTGACTTCAGGCAACAACTGCAAGTTTTATTTGTAAATTTGCAACAGACGGTTTAGGTTTTGATGGTAAATTCTCCAAATAATTACTGCTAACAATCGAACTGAAAAGCGTGCGCCGATTTTACGGCAAAGCATCCAGGCAGCTGACGACAGCTCTTCTGTTTCCAGGAGATGAAAGCAAGTCAAACATTGAGGTCATAATTTTGGTGTGCACCGGAGCCGCTGCCACGTTCCTCTGGATTATGCTCATCCTGTTCATCCGAAAGCTGAGGAAGGTAAGAGCGCTGCAGCTTTAAATCTGTGGCTTCTTCCTCCAAGTGGAAACCAGTTTGGTTCAGGGACATCACTGACCCATGCTGGGTGTGACACATTTTAACACTGAATGACACATTTAGCTGGATTTCTAAATGTTTGGGTCATGTGGAAACAACAGCTCAGCCTTTTCTTCTGCCTTATCGCTCAAAATGAAACCTAAGACATAAGAAACTATTTATTCCAGTGCTGAGCAGAGCACTAAACAGAAATAAAACTGAAGTAGTTGGGCCTAAAGAGGAACAATTAATAGTCAACATGCATCATCAGCAGTTATAGTTACACTGTAAAACATCTGGGTTGTCATTTAGTTGTGTCTGCTGTCCTTTTCTCTTTAAGTCAGATGAATTTAGTCAGTTTTAGGTTTTGAACCTAAATGTGAGTTTGTGAAAGATAAACTTACAGTAATGAGTTGGGTTAACTTTTTATTAACTTTGTCAAACCTCCCAGAGTTGAATAAGCTAGAGTTTGTAGGTTAGCACTTAAAAAAATCGAATGAAGAAAAATACAGGAGTGGGAATTATTTCCCAGAATGCTTAGCGGCATGTTTTTGTCTCCTGAGATGGAAGTGTGTTACATTGATCTGATTCTTGTGTTTTATTAAGGAAAATGTTTATTTTAAAGCGGATAATGTTCCATTCACACTAAATGCTTTAGATCAGAATTCATTGTGATGTTTAGTAAAATTCATCATTAGATCAGAAACTTTGTTCCTGCAATTTGAAACAATAATTTAAATTATTCAAAGGTAAAATAAGCAGTTACTTCAAAGTGAAGTGTCTTCTTGCTCAAATGTTTTATTCAGCTAAACTAGATGATAACAAAAACTATCGATAATAATTATGATTCTTCTGTTTCCTTTTCAGCAGCCAGCGCACTATAAGATGGGTCCGTCTATCATCATTGATCCTGATGAGTATCCTCTCGATGAGCAGAACGATCTTCTTCAGTACGACAGCAGCAAGTGGGAGTTTCCACGTGACCGCCTGCGTCTCGGTGAGCTGCCGTAACGAAAAATACATACTCAGAAAATTCAATATTTCAACAAAAAAATAACCTTAACACACGCTCAGATTTGTGTTTGCATCGTAGTTGATACATAATGCATTTATTATCATTTTTCCCAACCAAAAGAATACTGACTATGTGTCACTGATCCATAAAATATGCTAAAATAAACTTTAAAAGGCTTTTCAGTTGTGAACATGATTTAAAGCAACAAGCTTATAAGTTTTAGTCAGAAAATTTACACTGTTAGAGCCATTAAAGTCACTAAAGGGACAATTGGGACATGTAGTCACTGCAATGTTTAACGTAAGGTCAGTTTTTACTTGACAATCCAGATACGTCTGTAACGGTGTGATGTGAGATCCCGAGGTGTGAACAACCCAAACACTGAGCTGAGCAGAGGGTAGAGCTGTGACTCACTCGTCCTAATCGTCTTAACAGCCCAATTAGTGTCATGACTGCAACTCATAATCCTGCTTCTGGCAACCATGTTGAAAACCAAAGATGTCTTTTGGATAAAAGGTGAAAAATCCTCAAGTAACATTAGAAGAAGTCCAGTCCCCCTCTGCTTTATTGCTTAAGAGTCTCAGTTTTCCACTAGAGGGTAAAAAGGCAAGTGTAGGATTCAATTTGGAGGCTTTTTGAAAAGAGTGCCGACTTTTTTAAGAGGCACAAGTCTCGAAAATCAAGTGTCATTTGCCAATTTTTAGAGTTTAACTGCATGTGCATGCATTGGCTCTGAAATATTTCCACACCTTTGTTGAAAATGGAAGGTTTTGTCCCCTTAATGTGACACCTGTCCTGCACAATTCATATAAAAAACAAACACATTTATAACAGGAAATTTAATGCAAAAAAAAAATACAAATGCACACTTCATTAAACCTTCCTCTGAAGCATCTTTTGAATCACTTTCATCATTTTAGTGCAAATATCTTAGTACACTTTAAATAAAACGAAAGTAACATAAGTAACTGTTCAGCAAAATATATACAATTGTTTAAGTAAATGATTCCTTAATATTGATGAAAAAGTGCAATGGCAGATTATTTTACTTATAGCATGGGTAGAATGTGTTATTATAAGTGAAATAATATAATATCTTTACATCAACATTAAGGAATTATTGACTGAAAACAAACTCATATTGTGCTTAAAAGTTACTTCTAAGTTGGTATTTGCATTAAAAATAATACCAAAAATACTTGGTAAGATTTGATTTTTCCACATTGTATGTTTTCAGATGTGCATACTTAACAGAACCAAGTTATTTATCCAGTTTAGTTCTTTTGCTTCTAACAGATTTATTTGGAATAAATCTGTTAGTGTTTCTTCCTGATCTGTCAGGAAGAAACATTATGAGGGGTTAAGAGGTAATTGTGGAAGCCGTTCATCGTGAGTGCTGCTAAGATAAATGGCATCGGTGTCGCATCGCTCTGCAGCTGCACAGTTGAGTCATCACTTAACACTGACCTGCACTGTCGCCCCGGCTTAAGTGCACTATAAATTAATCTCTAAACACTAGAATATCAAAGCCCCCATGTGTTTTCTGCAACCTTAACTTTTGTTTTTCTTTGTATGCTTGGTTATTTATCCCCAGGGAGTCTGATTTAAATCCTCTTCTGAAATATTTGATTTCTTTATCAGGTAAAACTCTCGGCCACGGAGCTTTTGGGAAGGTCGTCGAGGCATCTGCTTTTGGGATTGACAAGCTCTCAACATGCAAGACTGTTGCAGTAAAAATGCTTAAAGGTGGGAATAAAAGAGTAAAAACAAGCTATGACTAAAGAGAAAAGTTGAAAAACATCAGTTCCTTGGGTTAAGAGAGCAACCAAATGAATTTTTCTTCTCAAAAATAACATGAGCAACTTAAGTTTGTGTGACTTAATAGTTCAAAGCAAAGAATTGGAGATGTGTTTGTTTCAGAGGGAGGCAGAGCTAAAGGCTAAGACCTCTAACTTCCCAGCTAATGTAGGGACTAATGTAGGATCCTTCACATCAGCAGATGAAGAAAAGTTCAAAAGTGCAAGAAATGAGAGCAAAATTATCAACAAATCTTCAAACTTTCTCATTCTATTGTTTTAAAACAATAGAATAAGAACCAAACCACAACACTGGTTTAGTTGTGGCTTAAAGTGTTATGAATGTTCTTTACTTTTTCAAATATTTCCAGTGAGTTACATCTGCATCAAAGTTAAAAGGCATAAAACAGGCAGCTAAATTAAACATTTTTCAGTTTTATTATAACCAAAAGACCAGAAAGTGAATATCAATATCAACATTACGGCTCTCAGCTGCACTTATTGTCTGCTGTCTTATCTTTGTGAATCATGTCTGGGGATAAATCACTGACTCAGAGGAAAAGTGGACGCAGGTCAGATTTAATGGAAAGCAGCAGCTTTGTGACTTCAGACTGCATGGCTGCTTTTGTCTCATAAATCTGATGTTGGCCAAAGCAGCAGACTAAAAGTCTTCATTTGTATATTTCAAGGCATTGTTATTGTTTAAATTTACCACAATCAGATATGTAATCTAAGCACACATGCTTATCTTATTTTGTCTGGATTTATTTGTTTGAGTTGTGATTAGATCTATTAAGAGCTGCTTTATAAATCTGGTATCTTTATTTATTTTAGTTTTTTATCCAGTTTTGTCTCCATACTTGCAAACTGCAAACATATCTATTTCAGACTGTACAAAATCCATGAAACTATAGACAAATTTCATTTTCAAGCAGCTCTTAAGCGTTCAGCGTTTTTTTTAAATCTTCATAAAGATACAGATTAAAGTAAACAAGCTGCAAACAGAAAGTGAAAAACAATGTTGGTAAAATTTGATAAATGAAGACTGAAAAATGTAACTTATAAACATAAAGCTGTTAATCTGCACTTAAAAATTAGGAAAATCATAAAATTATTTAAGTTAAACTGGTGGGGAAAATTGTTAAAAATAAAATATTAAAAGAAATATATATAGAAAAGCACCTTATTCTCATTGCTGATACTGTTTTTCTTCTAAAATATATTTTTAGGAAGGTTTTCAAGAGATCCATCAAAACAAGGTTAAAAAAACGGGTGTAATGATATTTACTGAAATTGTCTGTTTCTGCAGGTGGCGCTACATCGAATGAGCGTAAAGCTCTGATGTCGGAGTTAAAGATCCTGATCCACATCGGCAACCACCTGAATGTGGTCAACCTGCTGGGAGCCTGCACCAAACCTGGAGGTGAGCTTTACCCTGCAAAAACACTAAATGTTACCAACTGTTATTTGTCCAGTTTATAGTGCAAATATCTCAGTACTTCTGAAATAAGACAAACTAACATAAAAGTAAGTTTTCAGCAAGAAATAGGAGTTGGTTTTCAACAAATAATTCCTTAAAATTGATGAAAAGTACTGGTTCCACTTGCAGATTATTTCACTTATAATAAGGGAAAGATGTTTCATTATAAGTCAAATAATCTGCCATTGGGTTTAGTATTTTTTCATAAACATTAAGAAATTATTGACTCTACAAAAGCTCCTATTTCTTGCTGAAAAGTTGCTGTTAAGTTAGTTTTGCCTAATTTAAAGTGCACTGACATGCAGTAGAAACTAGATACTTGGTAAGATTATCTTTTTTTGCAATGCAGAGGGTGTTTAGAGATGAGTAAACCTGTAACAAAATCCTAATCAGGTTGTAGATTAAAAATATCAGTATCAATAACCACAAAAACTGTGTTTAACAGGACCTTTAATGATGATTGTGGAGTTCTGCAAATACGGCAACTTGTCCAACTATCTGAGAAGCAAAAGAGACGACTTTCTGGTCTACAAGGTGAGCTTTCTTCTTTCTCTTCATGCAAAAACACAAAATCTTACCAAAAGCTTACAGGACATTTTCCCCAGGTTTTAAGTTAAAATGTTTTGTTCCACTGGTAGATTATTTTACTTATAGTTAATACTTTTTCATCAATATTAAAGAATTTTTGACTTAAAACAAGCTACTGTTTCTTGCTAGAAGTTAGTTTTGTATTACTTCACGTTTACTAAGGTATTTGCACTAGAAACTAGACCAAAATTATTCAGTAAGATATTGGATTTTTGCAGAATATGACCATGTTTTCTCCAGGGAATCCTTTTAATCCAAGAAAACATTGGAAATAAAATTATTTTAAGGACTTCCACATATTTTTACTCAAGTAAAAAGGTATTTGGTAAAAAAGTCAACTCAAGCAGAGTAACTGATCAAATGATCAAAATTAAAAAATTACATAATCAGGTAATATAAAGATAAATGGAAATTTTGGTATCTTAAGGACCAAAATTACAATAATTTATATAAATAACATAAAATAACAAAAACAGGCAAAATAATTTTTTTCCAAATCAGTTTCTTTCAATAAAAAAACTGATTAAACTTTAACAAAAACTGCAGGTGTGTCTCTGTGACTGGTTAACTTTTTGGTTAAAACATGTTTATTCTTCATTCAGTGGGTAGAAAATCCAGAAATTTTACTCAAGCAAGAGTAGAAATATTTCATAATAAAATCGCCATAATGTAAAAAAATACTCATAAAAGTACATCTTTTCAAAAAAGCTACTCAAGTAAATGTAACTAGTCACAATCCCAAAAAGTTACTTATAAGTTAGTTTTGTATTATTTCATGTGTACTAAGATATTTGTGCACTAGAATCCAACAATACTTGGTAAGATTTTGTGCTTTTGCAGTGTGATCTTTTGATCTAAACATTAATCAGCTGCAGTGTTTAACTCTGTGCTTCATCCTGACGCGGCCAGCGGCAGGACGGTAAGGTGGTGTCGGCGGGGTCCGGCTGCGAGCTCAGTGAGCTGATGAAGCGCCGCCTGGAGAGCGTGGCCAGCACCGGAAGCTCGGCCAGCTCCGGCTTTAACGAAGATAAGAGCTACTGCGACTCGGAGGAAGAGGAAGAAGGTAAAAAGGCCAAGCCCGTTTCTGGAACGAGAGCTCCCCGCAGATTGTTTTCAGGTCTGATGGGACGTTTCCTCCCCCTGTCCGGCGGTACAATCGCTGCAGCAGGAGCCGCTGTCACCCCACTGAGTCTGGGGAGGCGTCTGTTTGTTTCCTGTCGGGCTCAGCATGCCGGCCTTTTTATTTCCGAAGTGTTATTTCAGATCTGATTAGCTGTTTACTCAGGTGGAGAGGTGGAAGGACTCCTGAGAAGCTGCTCAACAGACGAGGCTCATTACCACACGTTTCACTTGACATCTTGTTAAAAAACACAAAAGAAGCCGTTTTGATCTCTCATCTGTTGCGGATGTTTTAAAGAGGAGGAAACAGGACATCACTTTAAGTTGACTTGTCTTTACATTTGTTCCTCCCACATGAAGTTTTATCTTGTCTGATTTATCTGGCAGGTGTACGAGGCTGACCACACTGAAAGCTTTGAAAAACAGCCGTAGATGAGGAGATTCAGCTGCTTTGGATGTTTGAAAAATCACCCTAGATGGAAAAACACTTTATGCTTTTCATTTTACAGAACCGGAGGATTTATACAAGAGAGTTCTGACGCTGGAGGATCTGATCTGCTACAGTTTTCAAGTCGCAAAAGGCATGGAGTTCTTGGCGTCACGCAAGGTATTCCCTTCTGCAGTCGCTTGTGCACAAGCATAAACGATTTGAGAACCAATTCTCGTTTAAAAACACGACATGGATTCATGTGATGATGAGAGTTTAATGGAGAATGTGAAAATGTTGAAAAGTGTCTTTTGCATATGCTTCCAGACAGCAAACATACACAGTATTCTTGTCTAGTTTCTATTGAAAATATCGTAGTACATTTGAATTTGACAAAACTAACTTGGAAGAAATTTTTCAGCAATAAATAAGTCGATATTTCCTTAGTATTGATGTAAAAGTACTAGTTCCATTGGTAGATTATTTCACTTTTAACAAGCCAAATAATATTATTATTAATAATAATAAACTACTGACTTAAAACAAACTACTATATGTCACTGAAAATATACTTGTAAGTTAGTTTTGTCTTATTTCAAGTAAGCTAAAATATTTGCACTATTATAATGCTTGGTAAGATTTTGTGTTTTCGCAGTGTAAAAACTAAAATCACAAAAATAAAAACAATTTTACCTACTCAACTAAGCATAAACTATTTTAATTAAACAAATAAGGTAATCAGATTGCTTTTTAATCAATGGGATCATAAATGTGTTTTGCACATTTTCCTTGTTAAATAAAAAACATTTAATTTGCTCATTATTTTGGTCTTGATTGAAGAAAAGTGAAAAAACATTTTGTTTGTTCCCTGCAGCAGAAACAGGATCTGTGTCAGAAAACACTTCCTTTGTTTGGCTAAGTTTCATTAAGGTGTATGTTAGAGCATAACTCAATAAGTAGATGTAGGTCCTGTTTAACATGAAAATATGATGAAACTTTGTGTTCCCTCCAACATTTTTGTGAGCAGATTTTAATTTAAAAGTTTTGTCTTAATTTAATCAATTTGTGGTTGAATCTTGGTTGGAGGGGGCCGCATAAAGTCAGTCCAGAGGCCCCAAATGGCCCCCGTGCCTCACGTTGATCACCCTTGGCCTACAGTGGCCGTGCCGTTGCTGCTTTGACCCACTTTCAGTTGTGTTTTCTGGATAATGTCTCCCCTGAGGTTTGTAAAGGATGCCAGACTTGATCCCATTCATAGTTTTGGGGAGACCGGATGAAACTGATTAGAGAAAAATGCTATTGTTGTAAAACACCTTCAACAGAAGCAAAAACAAAAAATCCCGCAGCACTATTGCTGATCTCTTGACCATATGTCTATCCTGCTCCATTGTTTGCATGCCAGTTTGGGGAGCCTGACATGCTTGTGCTCAAATTGTCTGAGCGAGTGTTTTCCTCTCTGTCATCAGTGCATTCATCGGGATTTGGCTGCTAGAAACATCTTACTGTCTGAGAACAATGTGGTGAAGATTTGTGACTTTGGGCTGGCCAGAGACATTTATAAGGACCCGGATTATGTGCGCAAAGGAGATGTAAGTTTATTTTTATTTCAGTTATTTACACAGCTGTCTGCACTTAACAGTTAGCTGCTGCAGAGTTGGCATAAAAAAATGACATTTTGAGCTCTGCTAGATGTTTATGTGTAGTTCCTGTGTGGATTGATAAGTTTGATATACAAATGGGAGAGAAAGATGAACTTGTATCAATCATTGGTTACAGGCCAGGCTGCCGCTGAAGTGGATGTCTCCTGAAGCCATATTTGATAAGATCTACACAACCCAGAGTGACGTTTGGTCCTTCGGTGTCCTGATGTGGGAGATCTTCTCTCTAGGTGAGTGTCACCAACCCATAATGCAGTGGATGTTATGTTAAATTATGATTAATTAGTTTTAGGAAAGCTAAGTTTAATTTTACAAGCCACATCCAGGCCTGATTACTAAGATTTAAAAGATTAATCATGATTAATCTCTGTAATAATCGTCAACAAATTTTTTTTTTGACTGGATAATTAGTATTTTATATCAGTCAGTATCAATAATTGTTAGGGTTTTTTTTTTTTTTACTTTAAATACCTGATATACTGCCAGACCCGTAACATGGTTTTTCCAGTTTTATCCACGATGTTCACTTCACGCCGTTGTTTTTTATCTTTAAGTAGTTATGAGGAAACGTGGCAAAACCTTAAACTGCTACTGTGCAAGGTACTCAGCAAGTTGTTGCTAGGTAACCACAAGTTACTCAGCAAGTAACTCAGCTAAAGCCTTTCCTCTGCCTACATCTCCCAGAATGCTGTGCGCTTCTGGATCAGAGTTCAATTTATATTCTATATACTGAATATTCTATCAGATATAATATCTATTGATACTGGTCACATGAATATCATGATATTTATTGTTATTGATTTATTGTCCAACCCTAATTAATAGAGTACACAGCCACAAAAAAGGCTATTTGCTGAATGAACAATATATTCAGAGCAGTAATTAAGTTAAAACTGTACAAAGAAATTTACATTTTTCCTTTAAAAAACTCTTTTCTGTAAATATGTTCTACTCAAAGTGCCTCAAGTGACACCTTATTCAAATTACAGTAAAAAATGTAATTAAAAAACTCTCCAAAAATACACCAAATATAAAGGGTTAAGGGACATTAAATCTCCTTTCTGCAGCGTCGCCCCACAGCAAACCGAGTTGACGCCAAAATTCATCCCTGCTATGTAAACAGGCAGCGTGATTCCCAACTCATTTCTGTAACATGAATTAACATGAAATAATGTTCAGTAAAAAGTCACAGTGAGAACATAAGGGGATGATTTCACTACTTTCATCCCTCAGTTAAATTAAAAAGGACACAATGCGGCACTTTTACAGTCGGGTTGTGTTTACTGGGGCTCAAAAACCATAAGTCAAGAAATGAAGACCAGCATTAAAAAATTCAATTATTTTAAACAAATCAGCTGTGACTCTGATTGAATTCACAGCTTAAGAGCCAAAACCTATAACTGTAGAGCAGTAAATAAAAAAAGCTGATGGCTTTAAAGAGAAAACTGTTTAGTGATAAAATTATGAATTAAAACTAATATTTTTTGTGCAGCAACATTTTATTAGATTTCAGTGCATTGTGTAGGTAACAAAATCCAACTGCTGTCAAAAATACATCAAAGAAACCACATTATTTGTTTAATTTAGTCTTTTTTGCTGTGTTTTTTTTACTATGTTTCTCACCAACTTTCACCTAAATAAAAATTCTCCTGGAGTTTTGATCCATGTAACCAGTAAGTCCTGGAACAGAAATATGTTTTGGATCGCCTCAAAGATGACAAACTGCGGATTTGGACAAATAAAACTAAAATATAATGTTTCACTTTATGTTTTCTTACAGCATGGAAGAAGTCCTTCAGCTCTTTATATCCCACATTATGGATGAAAAATAAATAAGTTGAACGGAGGTTCCCTTTTGAGCCGGTTCAATGATAAATCAGACGGATTTACGGTGGAGTCTGAATGAGAATAACAGCAACATTTTTTTTATTTTTTTTTTACCATATGTTAAAGCAAACCACAGTTACATCATGCAACTGTTTCTGATCACAAGTCTTTTGTCTTAAATTAGCTTTCAGCCTTATCAGCAGTGAATCATGTGTTTCTTTAAAACTCTTGCTTATGATTCTGTTTGATGTCACTTCACATTATCTTTCAAGCTACACCAATAAAACATGTTTCCCATTTATGTATCCCTATAAATTGTTCTTTTTAAAGGAAAACAAATGCTGTAAGCTAAATGTGATGCAGACGTCCGGTTCTGTTCTTTGCGTCTCCCAAGGTGCCTCTCCGTATCCTGGGGTCCAGATTGACGAGGAGTTCTGCTGCAGGCTGAAAGACGGGACTAGGATGAGAGCGCCAGATTACGCTCCTTCTGAAATGTGAGTTTGTGTTAATAAAGCTTCAGAAAAACGGGAAACTTTATGTTAAAAGAGCACTGCTTGTCTTTACGGAGCTTTTAAATGAACAAGTTTACTAAGAGTAGTTATGATGGAGCATTAGGGCTAAGAAAATTTAAAAAATAACATTAGAATAAAGTCAGAATGTTACAAGTTTAAAATCAGTATTATGAGAATAAATTAAAGATAATAGGAAAATAAAGTCGTAATAATGTGAGAATAAAGTAATAATATTACCAGAATAAGGTTGTAATATTATGACTTTATTCTCATGTTATTGCAACTTTATTTTCATATTTTCTCATATAATAATATGGCTTTTTTCTTGTAATATTATGATTTTATTGTTGTAATTTTATTTTTTAATTTTCTTGTGACTTTATTCTGATATTGTTACGACCTTATTCTCGTACTATCTCAACTTTATTCTGGAAATACTTAGTATTCTTGGATTATTTTGACTTTATTCCCTTAACACTCCAGCAAAAGAGAACAGAAGACAATTAGAGCTATTAAGAAGAAAAATCTGACTTTTTTCCTTGAGTCAAAATCGTAAGAAAAAAAATCAGAACTTTTTTTTTTCTGTGGCCCTAATCATCTTCCGTAGAAGAGGATCGAGACGCTGTTAAAAAAATACTGTGGAGATCAAATGCGGAGGTTTCCTTTCATCCACATTTTAAAAACTGCATCTTATTTTGCTCGTCAATCACATTCAGTCGAAATAGATTAACGTTTATAATCGTAACATGACAAGGTATGGGGAGGTTTCAGAGGTGTGAATACAAATGAAACATCATATATATCGTGTATAACACAATATTAAGAATCTACCAGCTATTTAATGTTTTCAGTTTTACTTCCTGTTTGTCGCTAACATAGTTAGCTTCTTCCTTGTATGACAAGACTCGGCTCTGAACATTGCGGGAGGAGACCTTAGCAGCTGATTACCGTTCAAACGTCGAGCTTTCAGACGTTGCAGCGCTTTCTGACAGACGAAACTGAGCACCTAATTTATTTCTGAGCAGAGGTTGGAGGATTCTGTTGGACATAAATATCTGTGGGGGAACACACAGTCCTCTTCTTTGGTGTCGCTGCTGTCAGTCAGCGATGGAGTGAGTGATTTTTTTTCCCCCTGCAGCCTCAGTGTGACGTCTGTGTCTGCTTTTAATTTAAACCTCCGTCAGATTGTAGTATGCTTTAGACAAATGATGTTTAATCAAAAGGTTCAGCATTTCAAAGCATTTTTAGTAAAAAAAAAAAATCATTTATCAGCCACACTAAAGAGACAATAAACTGATCTGAGAAATAAAACCCAGGTTGTAAGTTTCCGGACGGGTCAAGAATTCTGTAGTTTCCATCACTAGTTCGGGTTAACGGCTCCACTAGATTAAATACTTTACATTCTTAAACTAAGAGGTCTGGCTTTAATTTAAAATGTAGATACACTGAGTAATAGGTCTAGCAGGATGCACAGTGCTGCTGAAATCTACAAAATTCAGGTTTTAATCAACTCAAACCAATTTGGAAATAGAGGAATGATTAAAAACACACAAGGCAACAAGGGGATGCCTTTTAATTTGCGCCTCTGCCGGCTGAAATTCATCTGGCATTCCTCTCCGATGTTATGATGCATCGGAGAGGAATGCACCGGATGCTTTGCAAAGAGTGGGTACACAATAAAAGGATGCCCGTTTCCCATCAGATGAGTTAAAAGCACAATCCGTCCTTTTCCAAAAAAAAATAACGGTGCGTTCCCGGTGATGTGGGGCTGTGCTATTTATTCTCATTAAGAAGCAGGCAGGAAGGGTCTTGAATTGTGCTCCGATGCATTGTGTGCACTTCCTGGTCAATAAAATGCTTCAGATCATGCAGGAAAGACAAGTGAAAGAGTGAGCTCTGCAATTAATAAGGTGAAAATGTAATAAACCAAGAAGGTGACGATGTGGTGCTTCTATAAATGACAAAGTTAAACATAGTAGTAGGAAACTGATCCACAGTTTTGGTGTTTTTTTTTTTCCAAATAAAAATCTGCAAAGTGTCCCTACAAAAACAATCCAGTGTATCTAATTGTTTTCATTACTCACATAATAAGAATATAGAGTCCATGTGTGTCTAATCAAATCTCAGTGTAAACACAGCTCTCCTTTTAAGGCCTCAGAGGTTTGTTAGCGAACATTAGTGAGACTTATAGGTGAAAAACTGTGTTGAGGTGAAACATGGTGGTGGCAGCGTCATGCTAAGAGCTAAACAGAGGGAAATCCCTGAAGAAAACTTAATGAAGCTGCAGAAGAGTTCAGAGTGAGACAGCAACTCATAACAGCCAGAGCAACAATGGCTTCAATGCAAAAACACAAAATATTTCCAGTTATTTATGTTTAGTTTCTAGTGCAGATATCATAACTTTAACGTAACGCTTCAGCAAGATATTGGAGTTTAAGTAAATAATTCTTGAATACTGATGAAAAAACTACTAGTTCCACTTCCATTTCATTTATAACATTGAAAAAATGTCTTATTTTAAGTGAAATTAGCTAGTACGTTTTCATAATTTTTAAAGGAATTAACTTAAAACAAGCTATTTGCTGAATAGTTGCTTTTGAGTTCGTTTTGTCTTATTTTAAGTGTACTATGATATTTACACTAAAACTAGGCCAAAAATACATGGTAACATTTTGTGCTTTTGCAGTGTTACATCTAATAAATTAATGTGGTGGAACGGACCAGTCAAAGTTCAGACCTAAATCTAATTGAGAATCTGCAGGACGACATAAAAATTGCTCTAAGATGCTTTCAATCTGATCCACTTTGCAATTACGAACTGCTTTTGGTGGATTAAATCTCAATAAAATACACTCAGATTTGTGGCTGTAATTTAATAAAATATAAGAAAGGTTGAAGTTGAGGCACATTTTGTAACAGATGTTTCTAATCCTCCACTAAATGGAGGAGATGCTGACAGCTTGTCACGAGGAGAACAGGGTGCACTTGTTTCTGCAGAAGAATGAAAAGACCACCAGGCCCTACGGTTGTTTTCCATCTTCCTAAAAGTGTTCATTTTCACCCTATATCAGTGGAAACACACAGTCTGCGGGTTTGAGGCTTCTGGAGCAGCCGTTCAGCGAGCTGAAAGCTTCTCCTTTCCTTTCAGATACCAAACCATGCTGGAGTGTTGGCAGGGAGAGCCACAGCAGAGGCCGACCTTCACTGAGCTGGTGGAGAGGCTGGGCGATCTGCTGCAGGCCAGCGTGCAACAGGTACAGCACACAAAACAAAATAAAACAAAACAAAATAAAACGAAACGAAAACAAAAGAAAACAAAAGAAAACTCTGCATAGCTGGAGCTTCAGTTCATGGACTCACACTTAATGGATTCACAGTTATAGTATCACTCATTTGTTTAAGTCTTGTTTTTCAGTGAACAACTTTAGTGACTTAAGAGCAGAAAGTTTATTTTATTATGCATTTATATAATTGACACAGGTTTAGAAGCACCTATAGGCACAAATATTTGGACAAATGTCTCCTACTAAGTTAAACAGAAATAATTTTTCATTTAACTACTTAAGCCTCATTAAAAAACAATTTAGTTCCTTTTTTAAATTAACATTGTATTGTCTGAAATGCAATAAAACTGTATTTTTTTAGTGAATGCTTGATTTTTTTTCCATCAGTGAAAAAATAGTTGTAACATCTCCATGTCAAAAAAAAAACAAAAACAAAAAAAAACTAAGTACTTTCTGCTTTACTTTACATTAGTACAGTGTGGTGACCTGGTGATTCATTTTTAGACTAACTGATTAAAATTAAGATAGAAAAAGGTGCTAAATAGGAGATTTTATTGCAGAACTGAGTTAAAATTATGCTTCTTAAGTTCTGTGGAGAAAATCTCTACAGAGTACTTTTTTTCTTAAATGAAAAATGTATATAGTTTTTGCTTAATTACGACTCTGATTGTGTTGTTCTTTCAGCAAATGGCCTTTTTTTCAGTCTGTACACTACAGTTAATGATTACTCGTTAATGGATAGTTTCAAATGTTAGTTGGGATGTATGTATATATTTGAGCCTCTGTGTATATTTCTGACCCTAACAAAGAGAAAATCTTTAAACAATTAAAGATTGTTTTTGTTATTACACGATTACTCATTAGATTACCAGGATTAGTCACGAGAATTTCACATAGTCAGGAAGAAGCGTTGAGCATCATAATTTCAGAGCAGAACACAAAAGGGAAACAACACTCGGTAAGAAACTTGAGCACAACTTTGGGATGACGGCACACATCCCGTAAAAGGAACCACATGCAGAGCAAAGTGATTACTGGAGAGACACCAGACTGTCTGGAGGGGGCGCTGCTTAATGTCACAAACTTCAAGGCTGCAAAGATGTCAACCTGGAAGAAATTTAAAAACAACTAGAAAAGTCGCTGCTCCTTGCGAAACAGTCGTGATAATAATAATCTGGCGAGCGAACGCACCAGATGATGCTGAAAACATTTTATATGGAGCGCAATGAAGGAAGGGGTGACATCCCTGCGCTCAGGGAATGTTTTGAAGAAAACCGTGAAACCTACTGCAATGACGCTTATATTCCCTCAAAACAGACGCATGTGGCTACGTTTGATGCATAAATTATTTCTCTGGAGTGAAAGATGTGCAAAGAGGAGCATTTTGTTTGTGAAAAACCAAAAATCGTCAGTTACTAGAGTGTGCACTCTGTCAGTTGAAGAATTCCGCCATTGGATTACACTGTAAAACTGAAAACGGGCAAAAACTTACATAAAACTTAAATCGTGATTTTAGAAAAACCATAAGTGATACAAGAAAGCTGAATCGCTTGAAGATAGCTTAATGCCTTGTGACCTGCTTAAAAGTTGAACGGAGTTTCTAGGTGGACGTAGGCTGCCGAAAAGCTCAGAGTTTTTACAGAATTTGGTGAAATTCTCATGAATTTCAATGAGGATGAAATTTGCATAAGAGTTAAAATATTTAAATAATAATAATAAAAGCCGAAATTACCAAAATACAGAGGAGAAGTCTCCAGAACAAGCTGAACATTTTGATATATAAACTGCTGAAATCAGTTGAAGTATGCACTGAAAATGTACAAAAGACGAAATAATACAAATACTCAATGCTTTTGGCCATTTTGAGGGAAATTTGCAGGAATCTGTTGATTTTGCATGAATTTTGTGGACTTGCAAAAAGCTAGAAGGGCTTATTAATGAAATTTGGAGTCTAGAGGGCCACATAAAAAGCTGCAACGTGGCAGATTTGGTCCCTGGGCCTTGAGATTGATATTTATTTTAATCTGTGGCAAAAGTTGAGAAATGGTGCCTAAACATCCATAATTCTTCTTCCACTTTACAATTATTTACCACTCTGTGTTAGCCTGTCAAATAAAACCTGAATAACACATATATTAATCAAGACACTGTGAAGATAAAGGGATTTAATTTCTCTCACAACATGTCCTCAAAATAGGATAAAGCGCGGTGATGAACTGCGCTGCTTAAACTTCATATTAAACGGTTTTGGATTTATTAAGCATGACCCTGGTTTCTTTGGCCTGCCGCCACCAACCTTGAATGTTTTTGTTTGCACAGCGCACACAGCACCAGCCATAAATCTACCTCTTGTGTTGATTTAGGAGGGGAAACACTACATACCCATCAACACAGCCCTGCTGGCGAAGGTGGGAGAGCAGATTGAGGAGACGGAGGAGACGTCCACACGACCCGTCTCCCACCGGGACTCGGGGGGCAACTGGTGAGAGTTTGGATCGCTCTTCATTGGCTAGCTTACATAAACAAACTCATTGCACTTTATACGCCTTCCCTTACTGAATTATTTGACAAAATTTCACCAAACTTTTCCCTCAACTTGAAAAAATTGACAGATTTTTATGCTCTGCAGACTTCTTCTTCTGTATCTTAAAATGTTGGTGTTGACATTTACGGCTCCCGTAGGATCATATGTGACACTTTAACCTCCTGGAACTTATTTTATCTTTACATTTGTCTTGCATTTTGCTTCTAATCAAATTCCAGCTCAGTATGTGTCCAGTTGCACAGAGCTGCAGGCCTGGCTGCACTGCAAAAACACAGAAAAGTATTTTTGGTCTAGATATAATGCAGGTATCTTAGTACACTTGAAATAAGACAAAACTAACTTTTCAGCCAGAAATGGGAGCTTGTTTTAAGTCAACAATTCCTTAATGTTGATTTTACTTAAACAAGCTCCTATATCTTTCTGAAAAATTACTAACAAGTTAGTTTTATCGTATGCCAAGTGTACTAAGATATTTGCACCAGAAAAAGAACAAAAGTTCGTAGGAATGGGCCAAAACTCCAGCAAACTATTGTGAGAAGCTTGTGGAAAGAAATCTAAAACATTCTATGCAGGTCATAAAGCTTTTAAGGCAAATCTATGAACTGAACAAAAAATATATGTAACCTTTCAGCAGGACATGGGAAATTGTTTTAACTCAATAATTCCTTAAAATTTATGAAAAAAGTATTTGATCCATAATCAGATTATTTCACTAACATGAGAAAAAGGGAAATAATCTGCCAGTAGAACTAGAACTTTAATCTAACGAATAATTCACTTAAAACAAGCTCCGATTATTTTATTATTATTATAACTAGAACTTTTTCAAAAATATTAAGGACTTACTGACTTAAAACAAACTTCAATATCTTACTGAGAAGTTATTTGTAAGCTAATTTTGTCTTATTTCAAGTCAGAAACTAGACAGGAAGCATTTTGTGTTTTCGATTTGGTTTCCTTCTCCTCTCCTCTTGAACTTTCTAAGACGCCGTTGTGGACAAACCCAGATTTTTTTTTTACTTTTCTGCACTGAAAAATATCCAAAAACACAAAATGTTCTTAGCTCAGAGGATATGTTTAGCTATGGCCAGAGCACAATGAGAACCCGATAAGAAATGTACACATTCGCAGCTCCTGAGATTTTACCCACCAGCCCCCAAAAAAGAAAACACAGCACTGGCGTCAAGATTTAAGTCCACTTATAAAAATATTTGTTGAGCTCTTGGGTTTTCACAGCTCCGCCAAGAGTGTTTATTGAGGAGGTGCTGAAAGGCGGTAATGACAGTCAGCCCTGGAGTAAAAACCGAGCTTCTGTTTGAGCTTCCAAGTGTTGAAATGCAAAGCAAACAGTGAGTGTTATCAAAGTACAGTGTCATGGATGCTGAACGATGTTGATATAAATGATTAGGTTCCCGTGGTTCTGTTGCTGAACTTGACTCAGTAGAATCAGAACAGAGTCTCAAAGCTGGATTCTCTCTTTTCGTTCCCGCAGGAACATAAAGATCCGCCCTGCTAGCGTGAAAACTTTTGATGAGATCACCATGGAGAACGGGACAAATGAAAACCAGGAGGTCAGTAACACAAACTGCAAAATGAACGCTCTGTTTGAGTGACTTAAAGTTATACCCTAAAGTTGTTTTTTCAGACTTCAGCTGCTTTTACACACATTTTCTGTCTTGTCCTTGCAAATGATCATGATTTTGGTTTTGCTGTGTGAGCTTAAATAAATCAGGAAAGTGGAGGACAAGAGAACATAAAAAGTTTCTTAAGACAGGAGTATCAAAGTCATTTTGATTTTGAGCTACATCAAGATCATGAATGTATTGATTAAACCAATTAAACTGCTAAAATATTGATAAATGGCAGTTTTGTTTTTTGCAGTCAAAATCACAAATTTGTTGTGTTAATTTAGAAATATTTGCACTTATTTATGACGATAAATTTGACTTTTGTTACTCGCTGCATCGATCACGGACTATAATTTGACATCGAGAAAGGCGGAGGCCGCAGAATCATATTAGTAAGAAATGCTGCCGCCTACAGGTGGGAGTTAGAATCACGTAAGCCCAATGTTTGACAATTTTGTGGAAGATTTGCAATAAAACGTAAAATTATTAATTTGATTCCGTCAATCTTTTCCGAGATCTTTTGCATAAATTTCGATGATTTGCAAAAAACTGGAGGCACTGATTGATGCATAAAAAGCTTCAGCGGGCCGTATTTGGCCCCCTGACCTTAAGGTTGACATGTGATCTAAGAAGTCATGCCTTTTAGAAAAGTGGAAGAAATCCCATCCTGTTGGTGCATCAACATTGATTTCTGTCACAATTATTGCACAGCAATGGCCAAAATAAATATTCTTTTACCAGTTAAATAAAACACGTAATAATTTAATTAAGCAAATAAGGAACTCCAGTTTGTTGTTGGACAAAGATGTGCAAAACGTAAAAAAGACCTTGAGATGTGACTCACGCTGCAATTTATTTAGGTGTCGACTGGAAGAAACTTAACAAAATTCAGTCAATTTTGAGCAATAAAATCAGGCCTAAATCCTGATTTTATTGCTCAAAATTTACAAAATTTTAATCAGGTTTAATAAATTAATTAATGGAAGCAGCAAAGTCACTGATTAGATGTGGAGCGTCATTTTTAAAAATTATTTCTGTTGCCAACATTTTCAATTTTAAGAGTAGTTTTAGTTTGTGGTAATTTTGAACTAAGTGAAAATAAAAACATCAAAAACTGTGCTGGGGGCCACATTTGTTTCATTCTTGAAGGGCCACACACAGTTAGTTCAGGGGCAGCAAATGGCCCCTGTGCCGCACTTTGGAGACCCCTGACTTAAACCAAGCTCCAACAAAGTTACTTTTAGTCTTATTTCAATTGTACAAAGACATTTGCACAAGAAACTAGACCAAATTTATTTTGTAGGATTTTGTGTTTTTGCAGTGTAATTATGCAGTGTTATAATTAATTTAGAAGCCTTTTTATGCTTAATTGACTCTCATATAACACTGTGTTTCTATGAAAAAGCTGCAAACAAGTAGAAAAAGCAACCAAAATGGTTTTACAGACATTAAGAAAGCCTAAAGACTACTTTAAATAAATGTCTTGCTCTTTGGGAGGCAAATACAAAACTTCCTGCACACCTCTGTTTTCTCTTACACTTTTAGTAATAATCGTTTAATCATTTCCCATCTTCCTGTCCTTCAGGGTCAGTCGGACAGCGGCATGGGCCTTTCGTCCGACAACATGAAGACTCTGATGTCGCTGACAGGCCGACCTCTGAGCATCATGGCCTTGGCGTACGTAAGCTGCGACCTTCCCAGTGCCCTTCAGAGGCAACGAACCAACACAAACACAGACGGCGATCACAGAAAACCAGCGTGGAAACCGGCTCAGCGTGCTGGAATGCAGACGCTATAACTGACAGACAAATTCACACATGTAAAAAGAAGTCAGCGGCCCGTTTTCTCTTTTGTCCAAAGGAACTTTGTATGAGTCAAAATAATAGAGACTTTAGAGGGAAAAGAAAGCTAAAAACAAAGAAAAATCTTCTTTTAACTCGAGGATCCAGCAGTTTTCAGTGACAAATGAAGCTGTTTGAAGGAGGAAAACAAATCTGAGGCAATATGTTCTCAGTTTAGAGGTTTACTGAAGGAACACGTCTAATATGGTGGAGATTTAGTCTCAAAATCCCAAAAATTACACATTTAGCTTCTATATTTTACACTGAAGCCTGAATTCAAAGTGCTTATCTTCATCAAGGCAAAGAGCAAAGAGGCGAAACTTGTATGAAAAGCAGCAGATTTAACTTGTAGCCGGGGATGTGTAACATGTGAGACAGCCAACTTCACACCACTTCGCCTCAAAGTGTCTTTCAGATCTAAAAACAAAACATTACGGGTCTGCCTGTCCAATCAAACCCTCCGCCTGCCACAAAGAGTTAGCTCAAGCATCCAGACAATTATCTGTGTTTCAAGGGGAGTCGTCTCTCGCCGGGCAGCCACTCAATCACTGCCAGTTTCTAAACTTAAGAGGGTTTACAAGGACCTCCCCTGCAGGAGTAGCCTTCCTTCTTTCACCCAGAAAAACACCATAAATCTAACTTATTCCAACATTTTCAATAGAAAAACTCCACTCCACTACTGAGAAAATAACATGTTGCGTTTTAATAACTGGTTTACCAGATAGTTTATTAATCAAGACCGAATTCCAGTTTGGTGTCGTGTCTTCCTCCTGCTGGGAGCTGACCTTTACTCTGAAGGGAGAGGTTCTGGTCCAAGACAAAAACACTCAGTCATAAAAGGAAGCAGAAAAACCTCAGGATGATTGATTGTATCGAGTATGAAAACAGGGAGGTTTATCTGGTTATAAGGGTGGAAATATTTAAAGGAAACTGGATAAAACAGACCTCAAGTTTTATTTCACGAAGGCATGTTGTTGTTTTTTACAGTCATGCAAATAAGGTCCATTTTCAGTAGAAAATGGACCTTAAAAACTGGCATTAAAAACTCTTGATTGACAGCACTAAGACCCGCCTCCTGGCTCCGATTGGTTGTTTCTAATTAGCATTGGGAGAAGCCAGAGGAGCTGGATTATTTAACAGATTATCTGTCTCAGTACCAGAGGCAGCAGAGTATCCAAAGGTTGTACTCAAATAAGAGTAATACTACTTCATCATAATTTTACTCAAGTAAAAGTAAAAAGTATCCGTCCAAGAAATTACTCAAGAAGAATTTGGTAAAAAAATCTACTCCGGTACTGAGTAACTGATCAAATTATCAGTCATTTAATATTTAAAAATGACATAGTCAGATAAGCCAAAATATAAAGTTGAGTGGAAATTTTTGGTATTTTAAGTACAAAAATTACAATCATTCATATAAGTAACAAAAAATAACAAAATCAGGCAAAAGAAAATGTTTCCAAATCAGTTTCTTTCCATAAAGAACAAAAACTGCAGGTCTGTGTCTGGAAAAACGTTTTTAAAACATCAATCTAGAAAAGTTACTCAAGTAAAAGTAAAACTAACAAAATACACTCCTAAAAGTACATTTTTACAAAAAAGTCACTCATGTAAAAGTAGCTAACTACTGTCCAACTCTTTATTGTTTATAAAAGTTACATACTTTAAATAAAACTAAAACATTATTTATGTTTTCCTTTCTCTGTGTTTCCAGGATGAAGGCGGTGAGTAAGAGTAAAGAGTCGGTGCTGAACGACCCGGAGAAGGACAAGTTCCTGCCCACCGTCCTGCCGCTGGACTTCAGCCTGGATGACTCGGCGCTGGACGTCAGCCTGGAGTGCCACAGCCCGCCGCCTGACTACAACTCCGTGGTGCGCTACTCCACGCCTCCCGTGTAGCCTCCGCCCGAACCCCGCCAGAGGACCCCAGAGTGGAAGCGTCAAGGCCTCGGCTTTGTTCCCCGCGTGCGTCATCGGCCGAGGAGGAAAAGACGAGACTCCCTGTTCACGGACTCTGAAGTGACTCAGCTCCACTGCGCTCCCCTGTGGATCTCTGGATTGTTGATTTCTGTATTTTTTTTCCCACATGTTGGCTTCTCGATAATGCTGCTGGTCTGTCCCAACCTTCACTGTCAAACAGCTGAAAACAGCCTCAGGTATTTCTCTGATCTACTGTGAAACAAACCGCATCAATCCCGACTTGACCCCAGATTAAAACGATCCGCAAAGACGAGTTCAACCCAAGAAGGAATAAAATGAACTTAGAATAAATGTATCTTTTAACAATGTAGCATAAACTGGCGGAAAATTTTACGTTCTCTTATGGGCGTAGTAAATAAACCTATATTGAGGATTTACGTTTGTTTTTTTATTTATTACTGCGACTTATGATGGGGCAATAAATTGATTTTACTGATTAATCAAATTTTTGTTTTTTGAGGATTTAATTTCTGGAAAATCTGATTTTTTTTTTTTTTAACCAATGCACTCTTGTTTATTTGGGCTACGAATTCAGGTAAAATCTACAATGAATTATTAGAGGCAGGCTAAATATTTTTATTATGAGAATAAAGATGTCGCCATGGTAACAGAAGAGTAAAGTCGTACGACAAAAAGTCAAAATATCAAGAGAATAATGTCAATATTAGCAGAATACAGTCGTAAAATAAGAGAACAAAGTTACAATTTTATGAAAACAAAAATTAAAATGAGAAATGTTGAGAATATCATAAAAAATAAGGAAATACTTTGTCTTTTAACATCAACATCTCCAATAGCAGAAGTTTAAGCAAACAAATTTAGAAGAAAAAAAACAGTCAAACTGAGCAGCTCATGTCAGATTTTTCTAACTCTGGAAGCTTTTTACTAAAAATTACTTTTTTTCATAATTTTCAAAATATTTCTGGTGAAACTGCATTTTTATTCTGCCTATACTATGCCTATTTTCTCATAATTAAACAAAACTTCTTGTAAAATAAAATACAAATATTACTATCAGGTTGGATTTTTCCACATTCTTCTGAATGTGAGATTTGAATTCACACTAATCTACAACAAAGATTAATTTATTCTAAGGATATTTATGCCAGCAGAGCACTAAAGGTGGTAGCCTAATCTACTGTACAAAATAAAATAAAAAAATAGAAAGCATTCATGTTCGTAATCTCAGTTTGAAGTGTGATTTTATACAACAAATAAAAAAGTTGCTGACTTAACTCAGGTCTACCCATACAGGAAACAGTTTATTTGTTTGCTTTGCTGTTCAGAGTTTTAAAACTCCCAGGTTAATGAAGGAAACAGGGTTCAGATGTTACCTTAAAGCGAAACATTTTTATGATTTCCTCCTCCTGTTTGGTGCGAATTAAACGCTGCACTGCTATTTTATTTCTCCTCCTTTGTTTTGGCCTAAAATACAGTTTGTGTATCAACACATGTAATTAGATCAAATCCATATAGGAACATTTGATCCAAAAAGTATTACAGAAATAAGTTGTATATTTATGTAGAGATTGCAAACACTGTCGCCTGTTGTTTCGCTTTTCACCCAGATTTAACGGTTAACCAAAGGATATTTTCCAGATCAGATTTTCTGACGTTTTCCCGTGTTTCGTTCCTGTTTTTGTTGAACTGTAGAGGAAATCTCCTCGTAAACAGGTGAGCAGGCTGTTCTCTGAGCCTCGTTTTGCAAAGTTTCCAACACTGGCTGCACAAAATTTGAGTCAGCAGCAGCAACAGCTCAGTCTGGTTTCGCAACATCTGCATGGAAACAGAAACTGTGGAGTGAAAGTTTAGAGCTATGTTGTGTTCAATTACCACTAAAAAAACAGTATTTGTGAGTAAAAATGAATCTATGCTTTTTCAGATGAAGTGGGGAACAATTATGCACTGATACCAAGTGATATCAAGTAAATGTATTTTGTATTGTTACCATATTTTATTGAGACAGTGTTGTTTGTTGTAGGTAACATATTTTTGCAAAGATTTTAGATGCATTGTTTATATTTAACCCATATCTATATAGTAGGAAGTTAATGTTTGCAGTATTGGTGTGTTATGTCTTTTATATATATATATATATGTATAGCTGCTTTGTGCTTAAAGGATAATCCTTTCCGTCAGAATAGATCACGCCTCACTTGTTTAGCTCATTTCTCCCTCTTGAAAATTTTCACCTTCACTGGAATAGGAACAGTTGATTTTATTGCATTTATTTGTTACAAATACACATTTATAAAGATAAAGCTTCCTTCTGTAACTCAACCCCACATGGAGCGCGACAGCTTAGATTTATTAACGTGTGATGCGTGCTACCCAACACTGTTAACAGAGTGTATGAAGTAAATAAATGAATAAAGATTTATATATTTATACAGTCATTCTAGTCTTGACTCCATTCTTGGGGAAAAAAATACTTTTTATGAATCACTTTGCTGGGATACAGAGGTGGAAACTGGGCGCCGACATCTGTGACTCAAAGAGGAGAGGCTCCATCCTGCTGTGGATGAGTTTTGATTTTTCAGTTTGGTCTGAAAAAGAGTTTTTATATTTTTATATCTCGTTCACCAGCATTAGGGTCCTGACACACTCTGGAAACATTTTAATTTTGATTTAAGAATCACATTCTGCTTTATTGACCCAGCTTGTCCACACAAAAAAGTTAACATATTAACATTAAGTCAATGTTTACATGATAAAACCAGAGAGCACATTTATTTAAATAAGTATCATTACAGTAATTTACAGAAGAAGAAGTAGTCCAGGATGATTTAAGGTCCATGGCACGTTTTTGTAAATGCCGTTCCTTACCGCCGATCTAAAGTTACAGTGAGTGTCCAGCATGTGTGGGATCTGCAGTTTCTTACGGCTAAAAAGTACTGAAAAATCTCCAGATTTGACTCTGGAAGAGCCCAGAGTTTTGACATGAACACATAGGAACCCTGTGCTACTAACAGACACACTCGTCAGCAACTTTGTTTCCTACATCTGTGAAATTACTTCTCAACATAAAAAACGACCAATCAGTCAAATGCATGGCAGCAACTCAGATTTAATAAAATAGAACACACCAGCTATCATTAGCATCATTTGTAATTAGCATGCATTATACCAGTGCTACTATGACTACTGATTTTAACCTTTAAAGAGTAACAAAGTTTAAAAAAGATTCATTTGGATTTTGAAATGCTGAGTGGTATTTAAGTGTGCATTCTTATTTTAACTATTTGAAAGTAACAGCAGCTGATAAACACAAAAATTAATAACTTATATTTCCTAAATAGTGGCAGCAGCCATCACCAGAAAGAAATAATCATTATTATTTTTCCATGTGTAATAGCATTTAGGTTGCAATATTCAATGTTATTTAAAATATATGTGTATTTGTCTATCATGCTAGCCTGGTGCTCTTGGGGGCCCCCTGGTGGGGTGGGGGTCCTAAGCCACCCTGGTCAAGAGTGTCTACATATTTTCTTTTTGTTGGTCTCAAAGCCACGGATTCGCTACGCATTGCACACATTTACCTACTAAAATGACGCGGGTCACTTCTGCTTCAGACTTGTGGGGACTAAGAATAAACATTTAGATTCCTTGATTTTCACTTTTTACTGAAAAAATAAGAAATCGTACATTTTTATGGCAAAAATCCAACCTGAGAAAAATAAATATTTTCAGTGTGAATGATTTTCCTATATTTGCCTCCCTGACCTTTCAGACTTATCAAGCAAACCTCATGGGACTGTGATGCAGACGGTGTGTTAGATGAGAAGACTGCAGCCCAGCCTGTTGACTCAGTAAACCAAAAACTTCTGAGTTATTCCCAGTGAGGTTTGTCTGGGCTGAAGTGTGGGCCCGGCTCCTGGTTCTCGGATTGTGGAAGACTCACTTCCTAGTTGTGACAAGGTGTCGGCAGCCTGTCTGTTCCTCGGGACATTGTCCACCTCCGAGCAGGAAAGGAAGGAACTCTTTAATCATCCTGGTCACGACTGGAGGGCGCCACACACTGGCCTTCCTCTGGGAGACACTTTTTACTGGCACTAGTTGTGTCCAAGTGAGAGGTCTTCACACACACACTTACTAGGGGACATGGGTCATTGACTGTCCCCTGTTGTCCTTTGCTGTGTTTACAGTAAGGTGTGTGCCAACCATTGGATCTGAATGCATGTCAACAACTTCCTGTGCAGACTATTTCAGGAATATAAGATGCAAACAAACAGGGGAAGGATGTAGGAGGGGAGCAGGGTTCGTGACTGTCATGTTTTTTCTGTCTTTTGCATCTGACGCAGTGATTTTCCATTCCTGTGCAGGTTGGAGGATCATTTCCAGAGGGACAGCACTGCTTTCAAGTTAAAGATTTAAGAAAAAATAGTGCGATGTTAATCAAAGTTTGCAAATATGATAATCTTGTCTTGCTCGTGCCCCCAAAAGAGGAACATGTTTTGGAGTAAATTGTCCAAATCAACTCCAGAACAAAAGCAAAACACTTTGTGAAGTTGCTGGATGAAGCCAGTAAGACAGAGTTATGAGTCCATAGCAACATCGGCTGAGAAATGAAGAAGACATCACTCTAAAAGCAAAATAAGAAGCTACTTTACAGTTTACAAATGGACTCAGGCACAAAGACTTCAACTTGAAAGAAAAGTCAAAGTTTGTAATATTTGGAGAAAAAGATGAAATATTGCCGCCTGAAAATAGCTTGTTAACTATGAAGTACGGAGGTGGCAGCATCATGATGCGTTTTGCCACAAAGGAGTTGGTGCACTTTATTTAATAAACTGCATCATAAGGAAATAACAGTTTGGTAACTAATTACATTTATTCGAGTTGCATTTTGGAAATAATTTACTTTTAGAACTGCTTTTACTACACTGTACTTTTTACTTTATTATAAAGTATTTCCACTTTTGAGTAAAATTTCTGGATTTTCTACCCACTAAATGAAAAACAAACATGTTTTACCAAATACTTGAGTAATTTCTTGGACAACTACTTTCTACTTTTACTTAAGTAAAATATGTCGTACATATATGTACAAAATTATTCAACCTGATGATAATAATAATAATAATAATAATATGAACATTTAACAATAAATATAGTTCAAACTGAGTCATTTAAATAAATCTTTATCAGCCCAAAAACAAGTATTGTAAAGTTTTTAGGAGAAACGTAAAGCCATTATAAATAAAAACCATTGTGAATCCATAAACTTAATCTTTATTTTTATTTTAGTCTGATTTTCTAAAAAATATATAATTTCTCATCAGGGATTCATCTGACTCAACAGCACAGCAGCATTTAAAAATAAATTAAAAATACACAGATTATTTTCCTCCAAGGCATCAATAGAAGAAAAGGCACTGCCATCCTGTGGACTGCAGGATAATTACGTTAATAAGTGACCATCATTGGGCTGTGGGGCGTCTGATTGTGTTTTCCTCATTTAACAATAACACTCATGATCCCCTTCACCCCACTCCCACTCCCCTCTGACCGCTTCCACAGCCTCTTCCCAAAGCAAACAGAGCTGCAAAAGCACTCCATTAATCACACAAGCGGAACCATTAATGAATTCACAGAACATTTGAAGTTACAATTTAATAAGAACTGAATGAGACACATCTGGGATGCAGCTTGTATTTTCGTCTAACAGAATAGTTTTATGCAAAAAATGTAAAAAAAAAAAAAAAAAAGAGGATGAAAGGAAGAAAATTAAACGTTACCTCTCTGGAGACAGAAACGCCCACACAATGGCATTCCCAGACCCCACAGATGCAGATGAGCATGGTTAACCACGTTCACACCTCTCACCTAAATTCACAACAATAAGTTTGGTACTTTTCCATGAAAACTCCTCACTTTAACCCAACCTCGGGTAGTTGAGGCAAAAACCCGTTACGCTACATAAAGAGTTTATCTGGAAAAAGGAAAAAGCGTCACAAAAACATCTGTGGAGAATGAAGCAAGAACAACATCTTGTACTTCAACCTTTGACCTTTAAAGACTCTCAGCTCTCCTGCCAATTTATGCAGGCCACCTGAATTTTATAACATGGCCCCCAAATGAACTTACTTCAACCAAAAAGATAGCTGCTCATTACGTTCACACGAAGGCCAGCTGCAGCTTCTTATTCGACAAAAATGAGACCATAAAGGTTAATAAATTCAATAATAATCCAAATTTAATCATTATGTCAGAGTTGATCAACACAACTCTGGTTTCTGGCTGATCTTGGATCACTTTAATCCTTTTTGTCCAGGTTTTAGTGCAAGAAAAGACTAACTTAAAATTAACTTTTCAGCAAGATATAGAAGCTTAAGTTAAGTAAAGAATTCCTAAATATTGATAAAAAAAGTACTTGTTCCACTTAAAACAGGAATTTTTTTTCCATCTTGTAAGTGAAATAATCTGCCAGTAGAACTAGTACTTTTAAAAAAATCATTATTAGTGAATTATTTACTTAAAAGTAGCTCCTCTATCTTGGTGGAAAATTACTTGAAAGTTATTTTTGTCTTATTTCAAGCTTACTGAATATTTAGATTAGAATTAGGCCAAATACAGTTGTTAAGATTTTGGACATGAGATTCTTTTTAATTTGTAGTGAATGGTTTGATTTTAACAATTTCTACCGTCACTAATATTAATAATTGTTTCAATGCTCAAATAAACATCCACATTTTTTAAATTAACCAACTCTGTTGTACATTATTTTGAGCAGAAACACACTAAGCCATATAACTGCATGATATTTATGCCTTTACCGTACAGTATTTTAAACTTTATTCTACTTTTATGTATTTTAAGAGTCTATTTGCTTTGATTGATTGAATGAGATGATATTTATTGTAAAGGTACTCAATGAAGAAACATAATGTAGTTCACACATCTGCTGCTCCTGTAAAACACCCACTTTTCTTGTTGCAAATACTTTTAAATGAAAACCAAAAACTGAAACCGCATGGTGACAGAAACGATCCAACTCAGTGTGATCCAACCGCACACATCACCAAAGATCTGAGCTGCAATCCATCAGTCAAGTTTGTGCAAAACTTTAAAATAATCTTTTAAAGCTTCTTGACTGCTTTCTTGTGTCTGCAGCAATATTTTACCCCAAAGAACATATTTTTGTCAGCAAAACTTATAAAAAATATTTCAAAAAACTTTAAAGCAAGCTGCATTTCTATGAAGCATCAGTTAACCCAAACAAACTATTTAATATATTTAATATTTCTAGCAGATTTGTGGCAGTTTCTGCCACATAACTGCAAAGCAATTGGATGCAACAAGGATGAAAAGAGAAGGGAACACCAGTCACTGCGCAATAACAAACAGCTTGAGGCTGGAAACAGGAGCGTGAGGATCTGCTGCTGCACATTTTGTTTAAATTCACCAAACATGCAGACAGAAGCAGCAGAGAGAGAGAAAAAAAGAGAGAGAGGCATTAACACAGCTGCAGACATGCATCTGAGCAACAACACAGCTCCATCATGTTTGCATTAATGATGCCACTATGGCTGCAGCGTCTGGTCCCCAGCTCCTGCTAGTGCAGGAGCACTCAGTACGCCTCCTTTACCCCCTACCAGGAAGGTAAACAATAGGGTGAACTGGTGTTCACTGCTCCGTGTGTGTGGGAGCAAAAACAGCTCAACTTCAGCATCAAATGTTTCTGCATCCGCAAAGTTTAAAGTTCAAAGGGCAGTATTAAGTGTTTTCCAGACACATAATGTCACAAATATTACTTAAAAGAAATTCAAACCCTTGAAATTGAGCCTCTGTGTCTTTAAAAAGTCCTGCTCACTCTGAAACTCCGCCTTCAGGAAGTCATCACAACATGGCTCCTCTATTAACCCTTCAACAACGCTTTTACCAGCGTTTCACTGATAAGTACCTCCTATAACGAGAACAGCAGTTCCACCAGGTGTTTGCTAATTGCTCCTGGCTAGTCTGAAGGAGCGGATTGGGTGAGGGCTGCTCTGTGAAGTAGAAACTCAGAAGCTTGGAAACTGCAGTTCTGAGGAGGAGCTGCGTCTTAAAGGCGGAGCTACGTCCACCCAGTCGTTTTTCACAGCTGAATGGTTGCCATGGAGATGACAGGATTTCTCAAACATCCATGAAGGAATAAAAGCAACACTAAAGGGAAGGTTTTTGATGAGGGAATAACTTTATAATACAATGTAAATCTCAAACATGCTGACTTTACGTAAACCTGCCTCTTTAAAAAATCATCACAATAACAAATTAAATAATCAAAGTTAAGTTTTATTAGATTTGTATCAGATTCAGAATCCCAACCAGGAAGAAGAAACAGGAAAAGAAAAAAAAAAAGAAAAAAATAATCAAATAGGTTCTTTAAGCTGTCTGCTTTACAAACCTGTTAGTAAATCAACATGTGGATTCAGATGTTCCCTTCAACAATAAGAAAGTTTCAAATATTTACAAAACAACAATAAAGTCAAAATTGCTGCAACAGAAATACTTCCCCTACAAACCGACATGTAAACTGGAAAGTCTGCGGATGATTTGATTTTTACGGCCAGCTACGTCGATTAACACCCAGAACCACCCAGGCTTCCAACCCTGCCTTGTAGCGTCTTCCACCAGTGAGCCAGACAGCTGCAACTCCTTTATTTAATCAGTAACATCCAGCACACAGACTGTTTGGGGTTGTTTTAACTCCACATACCCACATCTAAAAATATTTCTCAGAAAATTATTTCTTTTCGTCAGAATGAGTAAATTCCACTGTGGCCAACTGGTTGTTGTTTTCTCTTTTTTCTGTTTTAAAATATGACTGTACAAGATGTTCTTGAAGCGCTGTTTTTTTTTTTTTGTCTACTAATTAGTTTGTTTACTTATTTGATTTGCTGACAACAAATTTTGTGTAGTTTACATACATTTTGAATCTGATAAGTAAAAAACAAGCACATGACATATTTTCTCTTTCTCTTTTCTCTTACATTTCTTTGAGAGTAACATTTCCTCATGTTTATCTCTAACAATAATTTACATATTGATGGAGTATATTACACAACAAAAACTGTAAGCAATTAAAGGAAGAAAGAATATTTGAGTCTGTTTCTGTCAGTAAAACAGCCCATAAACTTTGCTTGTGTTTCCACGTCTTTCTATGCAGATGTTTTATATTAGAGATTAAAACTCATCACTGGTGCCTGTGTGTCAACTATTTGTCTAAAAATAGCCGCAGATGTTCCTAGTTTGCCTCCTTTCCTGTGGTCACTTCTCAAACATCTGTGAATTATACTGTACTCATTAAATAAGGAGAATGGAGCTCCGACTTAAAAAAACAAACAAACAAACAAACAAAAATCAAGCAAATTAAATTATTCATGTAATTATTCCACTCCATTGATTGATGTTTCACAATAAATTATTGCACTGAAGTAGATCCACCTCCGTTTCGGACGTTAGAAAAGAGACATTATGCAGTGCCTTAATTTTATCACTTGATGGCAGTGTTGCACTGTTTTACTGTTCTTCACGGACAGAAAATAACAGATTATTTTAACTAAACCAAAGGATTGTAAAACAAAAAAGAAAGAAAAAACAATGAAGGAATTCCAGATTTCCATCTGCTGTATCCAAGGGTATTAACTGAAAATTTAGTGGAAGGAAAAACTTTGGCAAAAAAGGGTCCAGGCAAAAGTTAAAACGTTTAGAAGATTATGAGACAAAGACCATTCAAGAGATTCATGAGGCATCGATTGCAGCCAGAGTCTGAGCATTAACAACACAGATGAATCCAGAATATTCATGACACCTGTCGCACTGAGGGGGTTTTTCCCCCAGAAGCTTTTGGGAACTGTCCACAATACCAAAAATACTGCTGTTAAAGTTTCCTGTGAGTTTTAATCCCTAAATTTAATTATCAAAATAGTTTTAACTTATTTTATTATAATGTAATTTATTGAGATACACCTGTATTTTTAAGTCATGTACGTCATTTTCAGGCTTTCATGACATTAACATCTAAACATGTTGAATGTTTAGATGTTTAAATAAATAAACCATTATTTGTTTGTTATTTATTTGGTTGAAAGGTGATAGACTGGACTTGAAGTGGACTGTGGAGGTTAACAAGGACCCCCCAAATTTAGATTTTGCTCATCTAAATTAGATTTTCTAAATCTAATATGGGGTTCTTTTCAGATAAATATACCAAATTAAAATAACATATTTTCCACCTTTCATCAACGTCTGTGAGCCTGTTAGACTATAAAATGTGCTTCCGTGATCAGTCAGCACAAGGGGGCATCGTTTGGTCCAAAAAGCTTCATGAAGTGTGAAAACTGCAAAAAAAATAAAAATAAAAAAATACCCTGATTACAAAATAACACAATCTATCGAAGTGAGAGAGGCTGGACGGAAAACACGTTGAAAATAAATTTATATTGTTAAAATTGGCTTATTCGAGGTTTTATTCTGCAGTTTTAGTCTAAAATGCACACATTTATGCTTTCGTGTGCAGCTATTTTGCAACTAACAATTAAAGAAAATTGTGGGGAAAATGTCAAAAAGAAAAATGAAAAATGATGCGTGGCTCTTTTAAAAGATGCCTCTGCAGATCAGTGTGCACCATCTCACTTTTACTATCTCATAAACTTTTTGTGACCAATAAACAAGTTGGCCGTGATTTAAAGAAGGATAACATGACTGATTAATGCGCACCTCCTTAAAAATGTGCTTGAATGTTTCAGTCGATAATTGAATTCAAACGCATCTCTCTTTTTTTAGTGAAGCGCCAGATTAAAAGCAGTTTGAGCGGACAGCAGTGACTGATGGTGCCACCGGCCACTGTTTGTCTCTGGGAGGAGGAGAAGGGGCTGCAGGAGTTTCCTTGTAACCGGAATTAGCTGTGAAGTGCGACCTTGAGGTGTGAACGGAATACGAAACAAGAAAAAGTCTCTCATACTTTGCACCTCGTTTGCAAGTGAATATCCTGACATATAAGTCCGGGTTTACGTGTGAAGCGTGGTCACGGTTCTCACAGTAAAATTTCAAACATGGTTTCGTTTTAATTCAGAGTGATAAAAGTTTAAATAGTCACCAATCCTAAGCAACGAAGGTAAATTATTTTAACAAGCTATTTATTGTAAAAGTTAATCTGTGCGTAATTACGCACAGGCCTCCTTGTTTGCGTGTGTGGAAGTGCAGGCCTGTTTTATTGCCCGTGTGTGCAGCTGATAGGCCCTGGTGATAATTTATTCATGGAGCGGATAACCCGTGCTCGGGATAGGCCCACTGTCACAGGATGACGTGCTGCAGGACAGACGCAAGGGACATTCGGGCCTGCAGCACTGGTCACTTACATTTAGATGTAAATCTGCGAGGATCGAAGAGTTGGCCGGCCTCAGGCAGGCCGCAGTGTACCTTTAACTTCTTGTCATTTGGACGCATCATGTAAAGCTGGAGACAAACTGCATTTCACACTGGGAAACCATTTGGACTACAAAGAGCGCAAGGATCGACGCTAACAGTTGGCAGGGTCAAAATGTCGCCGTGAGATTGGCTGCATTTTCCCCTCTGCTGCTGAAAAGAAAAACTTTCCAGCCTTTTTTTTTTATTATTTTTTTTGTACAAAATATGTACGTTGGATACTTACTCGATAAAGAAAGCGGGATGTATCACCAAGGGCCAGTAAGAAGATCGAGCATCAATCTTCCTCCACAGAACTTCGTTTCGTCTCCACAGTACCCCGACTTTACAGGATACCATCATGTGCCAAACATGGACACGCACGCACAATCCGGGGCCAGTTGGGGACCCTCATATGGCGCCCCGAGAGAGGACTGGGGTGCATATAGTCTTGGACCTCCTAACAATCTTCCTCCCCCCATGAACAACTCATCTCCTGGACAAGTTCCTTACTGTTCGTCCGAGTACAGTCACATGCACCCCCCCGGAGCTGCGGTGCTGCAGCCGCCGCCGGACAACGTTACTGTTGCACAGCTTTCTCCTGAGAGAGAAAGGCGCAATTCATACCAGTGGATGAGCAAAACTGCACAAGCATCTTCTACTGGTGAGAGCGTCATCTTGGACAGACGTAGGCCTCCATTTTGCGTCAGAAATCTGGATTTTACGCAGCCGCAAGCCATCTCCCATAACCTCTGAAATGATCCCCGAGAATAAATCTATCTAGCTGGTGTTTATGGACACGAATATAAGTGATAAATGTAATTATCCTACCGCTTTGACAACTATTCTCTCTGCTGTTGTGGGTGGAAATTAAAATAAAAAAGAAAAGGTGTGAGGAATCGGCGCCGTGTCCAGTTGTGATGTTAATGTCATTATTTCTGGAGTTGTGAGCTTGACTTCCTTGTTACATTGTTTGCTGCTTCCATCGCTGCCAGTCATATCCACTTTGATGTGCGCCAGATTCCTTCCCCAGAGTCACTACTTCACCCAGAAGAGTCACTTTTTCTCGGCTTTTTCCACACACACACACGCAGCTGGGAGCGTTTATGCAGAAATAAAATAAGCAGATTGTTAAACTGTCTCAATATTAAATATTTCTAAATAAACTGTTTTACATTTTAATTTACTTAATTTCTCTTTCATAGCTCAATTTAAAGACGAATAAATCAAACAAATTCAGTTGTTTCACAGTTAATTTCCACATATTTGTTCCTAACTTCAGTCTCCGCTTAATATCAAAGAGAAAATCGAGACCTGGTTCTTTGAAATTCACTTCGTCATCAGAACCAGATCAAAAGCAGCTCAATTTGCGTATCTGAGGAGAAGATGTGGATTTCAGACGCGGCTGAATAACGATGCGGCGCTCAGATAGGCCTGGCCGGTCCAGACACGCAAGCCCACCCGGCTGTCTGCAGACTCACGATCATTCAGATGAAAACAAATAAATAAAGAAAGCCTTCTTGTCCTCACCGTATCAATTTGTCTTGTTCTCAGGTAAAACAAGAACGAAGGAGAAATACAGGGTAGTGTACACAGACCATCAGAGGCTGGAGCTGGAGAAGGAGTTTCACTTCAACAGATACATCACCATCAGGAGGAAATCCGAACTGGCTGTCAACCTGGGTCTGTCGGAAAGACAGGTATGCATAAAAATACTCTTACGTGTAATGTTGATCCATTCAGAAGAGGTGTAATATGTCAAGTTATTACCAAAGCTTGATAAAAACGTTGACAATATTGGCTGTAATGTGAAAATAATGTGGCATTTCTAAAATTCATTGCACAAAAATGTGTTCTCACAACTCTATCACTTTGTTTTTCTGATTTTACTTAGTTTATTTGCAGAGAAGCAGAAAAAGAACAATTTTACAGATTTTAGACATAAATACATGACATTAGAAGAGGCTTGGAAAATGATTAGCATCAGATATAGCGTACTTCAGCTATTTTATTTTTTAAAGACTTAATAAAATATGGCAAAATTTCCTCTAAAAATTCAGGGAACTATTATTCAACTGTTTGAGCAGTTTCAAAACAAATGCTTATAATACGGAGGTTGTTTTTAACATTGTTTTATGTTATTTCATTTTTAAAAAATATACCAAAACGTCCTCTCTGAGAATCTCGATTTGTTTATTTACATCCTATACAAGTTTAAGAAAAAGTTTTATGAATGCATGCTTTCTAATATCCATCTGTTTTTATTTCATTTTAAATACTGCCTTAACAGAGTATGGTATTGTTCCTTCAAATATACTGGATGTTAGGATTTATCTTGTGTATTGTTTTTGACAAAAATGGCTTAAAAGAGATTTTAAAATATAGGTATAGTATTGTTTGTTTGTTTGTTTGTTTTTTGTTTTGGGGTTTGTTGTTGTTTTTTGTCTTTTTCCTTTATCAAAAACTTTGGAAAATCTTACGAAAATATTTGGAGTTTACGCCAAAACCCCAATTTATTTTTACTATATTGAAACCGAAGGAAATATAACAATCTAACAAGCTATAGATTTTACTCAATTACAAAAATGTAAAGTGAAATATGAGGTGGTTTTACATGTTCAAAAGAAGAAGAGTTATCTATCTTCTAATATAATATAATATAATATAATATAATATAATATAATATAATATAATATAATATAATATAATATAATATAATATTTTAGTGCTGAATGTCACTGTTTGTGTCTTTTCTCAGGTGAAAATATGGTTTCAGAACCGCAGAGCCAAAGAGAGGAAGCTGATAAAGAAGAAATTGGGTCAGTCCGACGGCAGCAGCGGGTCTGTGCACAGTGACCCGGGTTCGGTGAGCCCTCTGCCGGTGCCGGGCTCCCTCAGTCCCACGGAGATCCACAGCTCTCTGTACCCTCCTCAGGGAATGAACACCTTGCCGTCTATCAGGAATATCCAGCAGGTGTCTGTGACTCAGTAGAACAGTCCAAATGCGGACCGTCCGGTCCGCCACCTCTCCTAAACTGAGCACTCCAACACGCTGACATGCGGGACACTTGATGGGCAGCAGAAGGATCCGAACTCCCAAACCGCTTTGCTATTTTTTTTGTTTGTTTGTTTGTTTGTTTTGTATTACGACATGCTGGAGGCTCTTGAAATATTACTTTTAATAGAATAGTTCTAATGAAGTGGGAAATTTTTTTTCAACTCCAAATAAAAAAAAGTCAACAAAAAATAATGATAAAAAAAATCTTTAAATTGTTTGTGAGTTTATAAGACATAAATATGGTGCATTGTTTGTGAGGAAGTGTATGTGCTTGATAAAATTTAAGAAGAAAAAAGTCATTCCGGTAAAGTTTGAACCGATGCGTTTACTTGACAAATCATTTTTCACTTGTTTTTAGCACAAGGGCAGCTTTTAATGATGCGGGTATATTGTCGTCTAATGGCAACTTTATAAATGTAAATAAAGTGTTTTTGTACAAAATGTATCACCTTTTATTTCCTTTTTTTAAATAATACAATAACAGAGTTAGACCTAACCTAAAATATGTTTGAACTCTTATTTTCTATTGGCTAAAACAAGTGTGAGAAACAAATCCGCTCCAATAAATTCAACCATTACATTGCGAGGCATCTTTCGCTGATCAGTGATTTTTAATCAAATGTGGTGCAAAGAAATTAGCATGAGGTTCAATAGAGACTGCAATTCAATTTTTAAAGATTATAAAGTCTAGAAATGTTTCTATGTTAAATGTGTCATTTCACTGTTGGAAGTAAGATTCGGCTTTATTCGAGGTGTTGCTTGCTCCACTTTTTCCAATTTGACATGTTAACTGCGGCTTGTTATTTTAGAAATAAGTTGATCTATAGCCTTTGCCCTTGTGGGATTTTAACGGGTTAATTTATTACGTCTGAGTGGAGGACTTCCGTGTGTCAACTCTAAGATTGTTCTACTGTTTTTCTGTCACGATGGACGGAGAGCACTTGCAGCTCTTGTAAATCCGAGCGCGGTGAGGCGATAAAACTTTTCAGCTCTGGTTGCAAGAGTTTATGGTAGGCCATTTTACCATATAATCAAATCAACTTCAATCGCTTTTTTTTGTGTTTTTTCTATTTGAAAGTTAATGTTTGAAAGACCTCTGAAGTTAAAATATTATTAAAATAACCTTCCCACCAGTTATGAAAAAACGAAAGACTTTTTACTCTAACTGAAGGAAAAGATTAGGACACCCTAACCCTAAAATCTGTGGCTATCTCTGCATGTTTGGAGTCATTGTGATGTTCTAGGGACTAGATGCAGCTTTAATCTCCATGTTTCACAGTATGAGGCTCTTTACCTTGGATGTTTGGATTATGTTGAATAATTTTAGACTAATCTGTCCAAAGAAAGACGTTCCAGGCATCCTGGTTTTTGTTTCTGTTCTCTCTGGCGAATCTCAGTCTGGTTCTCATGTTTTAATTTGATAAGTTAACTTGAGCAATCTGCTTCTGATTGTAGATCTACTTCAACAATCACATTTTAGGGGTTTTTGGATACTTCTTTTAGCATCTTGTGGTCTGCTCTGAGGGTAACTGGATGGCCAAATGTTGGCAGCTGTTTTAAATGTCCTCACCTTGTAGACTACTTTCTGTGAAGTGGCGAGGCTTATTTGAATTGTAGAGAGCTCTTTAAATCCTTTATAAGCTGCTGCTGATATCAGACAGTTTTTTGGATCTGGGATAAACCAGAGCTGAATGCATTCTTGTAGGAAGCTGAAAATATTAATGTGCAACTACGATTGTATTTCTTTTCAATCTATGCACTGAAACATGGCACAGTGTGTGCTTTTGCTGTTCTACTTAGATACAATCCATCAGGTCTACAAGAAAATAGTTTGTCCCTGTAACTTTCCCTGTGTTAAATGCATGGCAGCCATATTGGATTCTTGTATTTCTGCTTGTGGTCTTTAGGAGTACAAATATGACATCGACACAACATTACAAAGCAAAACAATTTGTTTTAGTTATTCCTCAATGTGGGAAAGACAAGAGAGCATATTGAAGTGAGGCTTATGTAATTTGATCTTCATAAATCAACAGATGCTAACAAGTAAACAGATAATTGTGTCTGTATCCATAGAGCAAAAATGACAACATTTAAAACAACTTACCAGGACCAAAGTTGATCTTTTCAACATTCACAGAAAGAGGGGAACGGTAATGGAGGTGAAACAAATCTAAACCCTCAACAGGACAAATGGCACCTTTTTTTTGGATAGATCTTTTACCAGAGTTCACATTTACATTTGAGGGCATTGCACCTTTAGTGTAATTTCTCTAGTGGCAAATAATTTAATTTTTAGAAATAATATACAACAGATTTTAAGTCACAAATACATCCTCTTCTCCTAGAGCAGCACTGGTGATATTTGAAGTGCCGAATAAATTTTTGAATGTAGCTTTTACTAGTAATTATTTTCAGAAAACACAAAGCACTACATACTTCAAGATTTCTTTCATAAATATGACCCCAGAAATTCCAGCTGCTTCAAGTTTCACTGTAATCCCTGAATAAATATTTAAGATGTTTAAACAGGCAGTTTGTATTTGGAAAATGAGTACATGGAAACACATCTAAAGCCCAGTTCACACTACACGGTTTTGAAATTGTCGGCCGATGGAAAATAATAATGAAAATTTAAATAATTCTACTCTATGGTCTTTATTTCATGACAACATTACTAAGAGCATTTTATGAATGTTGTTTTTTTGTAGCACAAAAAAATTAAATGTAGATTCCCCCAGAAATGTCACAATGACATCCTGAATGTAATACTGATTTAATATCCAATGAAAACATTTGTGGGTGGATGGCAGGACGAAGTTATCTTCTCCATACGGAGCAAATATCCTGGACTTGCATCAAGCGCAGATGTAAAGAAATCCTTTTTCATGCTTTTTGTTCTGAATTGGGTTTTCTTTGTTAATGAGTTTTACCTTCTGATTAGTTAATAATATATAAATTATAAGATATATAATATATTCCCTATTCCTTCCCTCCCCCCCCCCCCCCCATGCCGTTTTGGTGTTTTGCACTTCTCTTTTATTTTTGCACATTCCCACAACTTCTATCTTTGGTTGAAAAAAAATGATTGGGAGTACACAATGAGTGTTATTGAATATTGGGAATTATTTGGGGGATATTCACTAAAAAGGTCATTATCAGATGATATTATTACTTTAAGTTTCATAAATTTGTTTGTGATAATCAGCTGGTAGATTTTATGAGTAGTGGTTTCTCATGGTAAGCATGTAATCATTAAAAAAAAACTCAGTATTAGTGTATTGAGTCCAGCTTGCATCATCATCAGAAAGGCTAGCGCTACGCTAATATGTTGCCTTGACATGTTGCAGTTGGTGGGAGACTGAAAGGCTAAAATAACATTACAGTTTGACAATGTCTCCCACTTTATATATGAAGCTATTGTTGAACTGGTGAGTTTCTCCAGTGACTGACTGATGCATCCTAGGTGCACAAAGGAGCATTATCACAGATCCTTTCTCTCCTAGCAGCTGTAGGACTTTAACAAACTCAATAAGTCTGTCTAACTCTACTATTGTTTTGCTTTTGTTTGTTTTTTTCCATTTAAAATGATCTTCCTGATGTCAACTTCCCACACAGTAGGACAATAAAGGATATTTCTAAAATCTTCTTTTTCTTTGAAAGAGCCAAGTCTGCCTATTACATGACAAACTGTCTTGCCATACAAAGTTCCAGCTCTTGTAAATCTGGACGCAGCGGGGCGATGATGAGCGTCTTACAACCCAACATGGCGGACTTTGATACCATTTATGAGTTAGAAGACGAAGACGATGAGCACGTAGTGAGCGAGGAGCACTTACAAAGATACTGTCCGGAGCCTGTGATCATGCGAGGGGCCGGGCACATCACCGTGTAAGCCGCGCTCTGCTTCCCCCCCCCTCTTGTTTCTCTTGTTTGTGTGACGGGGTCGCTTTGTTATTTCCACAGAGCCTGCCTAGCTGAGGCTAGCCTGCTGCTACTACTAGCTAACGTCAAAACACAACAGAAACAGTTGAACATCTGTCAAGTCGAGGAGTTAGCGCACAGTAAAGTAACGGCTATTTGTCACCATGGCAACCGTTACCTGGACTGGCAGTTGGTATTCCAGTTAGTTATGTTTACATGAGATTAACCGTTAGCTAGAAGTCTTATCACCGAGCAGCAGCCGTCAATCTAATGTTTTGGACTGACATTATCAGTTGAGCTTAGTGTCTTAATCTGTCAGTTTTTCCTGCATTTTACCAAGCTTAAATATAAAGGCTATACGAGTAGACACCCCCCTGGACAACTGATGGAGTCTGTTGCACTTTTAAAACTCTAATTAAGTGATAACAAGGCTAAAAAGCATCTCACTTAAGCATCTTGTCATCACTACCGGCTGCCTCTTCATCTTTTTATATCATCCACTTCATATACTCAGTCCCCGTCACTTTATTGAACTTGTCAGGGGGTGTTTGTTCTGTTTGGGATACAGAACATTTCAGAAACAAATCACAGTGTGGTTAGATATGCAGACACAACTAGTCTTTATTGTGCAAATATGTGAGTAAGGATATAATTGTGCAGAAAAGTCTTGCTGAGGCAAAAGTATTTCCCCCCTTTAATATGTATTCTGCTTTTCCTTTTTCATCACACTTAAATATGTCAGATCATACAACCAGTTTTTAATGAGCATTAAAACTTTAAAATTATTTAAATTAAGGGAAAAGAGCTATTCAAACCAGCCTGGTGACAAACTAACAAACCTGATTATGTTATTAACCATATTTTTTTAAAGCTAATCTAAATTTCATTACCCAAACTCAGGCTTGATTACTGCCAAACCAAGAATTTACTCAAACATAAACTGTCTGACAGCTGGACGTTGGCTGACAAAATACCAAGAACAGATGAAGCATCAATTCATTGGCATCTGTCTGCCTGGAAAGGGCTACCAAGCCATTTCTAATTTCTTGGGAGGCCAACGAACCACAGGGAGAGATACACAAAGAGAGATAACATTAAACCATGGTAAACCTTCCTATTAGTGGTGACATACCAAACCTGCTCTCATCCAACAAGGAGCAAAAGATGGAGCAAAAATGGCATCCATGGTTCCAGGACAAAAACCTTTCTAACAAACCAAACACAAAACTACAGCTTACATTTGTCAAAAATATTCTCATGATCCTCAAGACTTTGGAGAAAATATTTTGCAGACTGATGATAGTAAAGAGGTTCTTGGAAGGTGTGTGTCTTGTAAGCCAGTCGCAATAAGCAATAAATCAATTAATGGCTCAGTAATTAAAGCCCAATAATTTCCATTTGCATGATTGTTCATTTTTATTTTTCTAACAAAATCTGGATCACAAAAGTATTCAGTTGGTGCATTGGTCTCAACTAGCCCTTCTTTGAAGGACAACTTTGTTTAC